ACAGATAGATGCTAGATAGATAGATATAGACTCTAGATGGATAGATGATATAGATAGATAGATTCTAGAAAGATAGATGCCAGATAGATAGATAGACTCTAGAAGGATAGATGATATAGGTAGATAGATGTTAGATAGATAGATGATAGATAGATAGATAATAGACAGACAGAAGGATGGGGCAGAAGGAAACTTTTGGAGGCAAAGGAAATGTTATGACCCTGATTGTGATGATGGTTTCAGGGTGTATACTTATCCCAGACTCATCAAGGTGTGTATATTAATATTTACAAGTTGTTCTATGTCAATCCTACCTCAGTAAAAGTGTTTTAACATAGAAAGTTGAGCAGAAATGCTTAAGGTGAAGAAGGGTGGGAGAGGGACTCTGGACAGAGGCAGAGCAGGATCCAGGCCCATGGGGGCAGCAGGCCGTCAGGGTGACATTCTAGCTGTGCCGACGGGGAGCACGGCGGGAGTGCGTGCAGTGACAGGTCGGCAGCACATGAGAAGATGGCCTGTGTCACGGGAGGAAACGTGACCCCTGGTGCCCTGAATACGGGGCAAGGACAATTTCGCCACTTTAGAAACGCTTCCTCCCAGCAACGTGTCAGCATCTTTACTGTGTCTTTATTCTTGAATCAATATCAGTGGAATCTTAACAAAAACGCATCCCAAGGGGAGCACCCTGAATAGGGGGCCCTCAGACGTGCACACAAGATCGAAGCGTGAGGTGAGGTGGCCTGTGACGGGCAAGCAGGACTGAATCTGGGTTTGGGTTTGGGGGTTTTCATTATTATTATTAATTATTATTATTTCTTCCAGGAGGGTGTGACAAATAGACATCAAGAGAGTCGAGACCTGCGGTGAGCACAGAGGGGACACCTGGGGAGACAGCAAGGGGCCCGTGGGCCGGAGGCTGCACGCGGGGGGAGGGGTGAAGCAGTTTTGGGGGAGGCTGGAGGGGGGCTGCCAGGCCAGACAGGAGTGGAGCGGGGGTACGGGTCACAGGGAGGAGCCTTTGATTCGGCTACAGCAGATACAGGAGGCCGGGGGTGCGTGAGCTGAGGGCCGTGCTCTGCGGGTGGCCCTGGGCACTGGGGGGGTGACGCTGTGGGCTTGGGGGCACACGGGACCCCAGGCACCTGCCAAGAGGCTGTGCAGGAGCAGGTGGTGAAGCGACTGAAACGTGCCGATTCGGGCTCCCGAGGGCAGAGAGACTCGCCGACTCGCCGCGCAAGGCGCAGGAAGAAGCCGTCAAGGTTGCGGGTGTGCCCTCAACGGGCCTTTCATTTCCCTTGGGACCCGGAAATATATCATTCCATGACATCACGTGTGACTAACCCGCTGACATGAGAACAAAGCCTCTGAGGTGACACATACTGTGTGTCCCCCACCCCTGGGTGAACTAAGGCCGCCTCCACGCCTATAACCCATGGGCGTCCTGGCCACCTTTGATGGCCGTGGAACAGGACACCCGGCCTGCACGTGGACTCACGCAGCTGGAAGACTCAACCTGGAGAGTCACTGCACGAGCACGTCTCTTCAGTCAGGGCTGCTCCAGCCTCCCAGTGGATCTAACAATGATTCCAATGCTGGCTGGGCTAGTAACCTGCTTGACGTTGAGTTTTACGCTTAAAATCGGGGGCCCTGACAAGCTGCACAGCCGCTGGGGCTCCGCAGAGTGGCCTGGCTGGGTCAGGGCTCAGAAAGCCCCTCCGTCTAAGGCAGGGACGTCCAGGGGTGCTGGGGCCCCGGCACAGGACTGCAGGGACGAGCAGCAGGGCATGTCGTCTGCAAAGCGGTTCCTTCGGCCTTGTTGCCAGGATGCCCACTGAGCCCCGTCCCCGGGCTGCTGGGCCCTCAACACAGGCTCTGCCCAAGTCCCACAGCCCGTGAGTGCTTGTTTCATCGTGATGGCTAAGCTAACAGCTCCATGTCTGCCCGTGGCAGATGGGCACCAAGGCACGTGAGGAGCCCTGCTCATCGGAGCCCTTACTCAGTACTCGGATAGTAGGTCACCACGTGTTCCCCCGAGAGGCTGCGACCTGCACGCTCCCGGCTTACTGCACAGACCCTCCTTCTCATGAGGGCTGCACACACACGCCAGGGGGAATCGGAAGGTTGACATGAATAAAATACTGTTAAAGAAGTTCCCAGTAGCTGAGAATACACGTCTTTTTCAAGTCGACACAACTTTCCAACAACGGAACACGAAGTCCACTCCTACCAGTGGGTGTTTCTCAGCTGAGCTTCACCAGGAACGTCTGGAAACCCGGGAAACAGGGCAGATGAGACACAACTGGCAGACACCTGCGGGCCAGTCAACGCTGTTCCCAGGTCCAAGCTCTCCTTATGCTACACACACGCACACACGCTTCCCCGCTCGCCCTTCTTCACTGACCTCCCGCAAAGCAGAGTTTACCCACCTGGCTTCCTAAATCCCTGGAAGAGCCTCTCCCACCCCCTTCCACCCCATCTCGTCTGCATGTCGCCAGCCCCACGGAGGTCAACGCCCCAGGCACCACATCCTCGTTCTCCCTGGAGATTCTGGGACTTGGGAAATTTTTTCCTGCTCTTCCTGACCTCTGCCTTTCCCTGGACTCCATGCCGAGACCCTCCTGCCTCGGGGGGGGCTGCAGCCCCTCTGCCTCCTTCCCTGCCCCAGCCTCCTGTCTCTGCAGCTTCGACCATGGCAGGATCTGACCAGAGGACCAGCGGAATCTACCACCTGTGTGAAGGTTCAGGCTAAATGGTTTACTCAGGACCCTCTCCTGACCTTGTTTCTCCAGTTCTCTGAATCGCGCCATACACTTATTTTCATCTAACGTGAAACCCACCACCTCGGAACCTGTATAAATCCCTTTCTCCATCTTCTTCTCCTGAATCATTTCTCAGATTGCCAGCGCTGACCACGAAGTCCTTCATTCTTAAAAGCTCACGTTTAAATTTTAACCCTTTAAACTCTTACTCTAAACTTCTTTGTGTCAGGTTCTTTATTTTTCTTCCTTTCCCTATCCCCAAAGCCCCAACCTTTTCTCCCACCTGTTTGAACTTGACAATTTCACTGTTTGCCCCGATGCATCCTGGCCTCACCTGGGCCACCTCTAGACTGTGAGTGGCATCCTTCCGACAGGTCCCATGGCTGCAGCAGGGACCCTCCCTTTACCACGTGGATCCAGATTGTTCTTCCTAAGATATTCCTGGGACGGCGTCATCCTCATTCTCAACTGCAGACAAAGCCTACCTGCTGCCTATTAATTAAAGGCCAGCTTCCTCCCTCTGACAGTCAAGGTCAAGCAGAACGTGGCCTCAGACACCCCCTCAACAATGTCTCTCTACAACGACCCTCACAATGAGGTCAAACTCTACTTCCCCACAGAACCCGAACAGATGCTCGGATTTCTCTCACATCAGCACCACTAGTACCCACAGTAGCTCCCTGACGTCGATCAAACGTTTGCTGATGTGTTAGATCCAGTGTTAGTGACCCCCCTCCACAAAGCATGTCCTATCCGTGCCCATCAGAAGCGCCCTCTCAGTTCTTTGCAGTAGAAAAGCAAAGGCTGTGTTATCAGCTGGACCTAGAATCAAGCCAAGGCCCCCTCACTCAACCTTCTCAGAGCCACAGCTGGTGGGCAATTCCTCTGAGCCTCAGTTTTCTAATCAGTGAAGGAGGCAAATAGCACTACCTTACAAAACTGCCATAAAGACTAAATGAGACCATGCATATAAAAATATCTAATGTCCCTCAGACATTTCAGGCACAATAAACATCACTCTGCTCTCCCTCATCCATACAACTTTATGCTCTTTTGTACTTTACTTGGGCATACACATTTTCATATTACTTACTGTCATTCCAAAACAATTACAGTGCCACAAAATGATTAAATGTTTTATTTTAAAAATTGGTGGAGGGACTTCCCTGGTGGCGCAGTGGTTATGAATCCTCCTGCCAATGCAGGGGACACAGGTTCGAGCCCTGGTCCGGGAAGATCCCACGTGCCACGGAGCAACTAAGCCTGTGCTCCACAACTACTGAGCCTGCGCTCTAGAGCCCGCGAGCCACAGCTACTGAAGCCCGTGTGCCTAGAGCCCGTGCTCCGCAACAAGAGAAGCCACCACAATTAGAAGCCCACACACCGCAACGAAGAGTAGCCCCCGCTCACCACAACTAGAGAAAGCCCACGCGCAGCAATGAAGACCAACGCAGCCAAAAAAAAAAGAAGAAAAAAAAAGAATGGTGGAGAAGGGAAAACAAATATGGAAGAATAAGACAAGGCTGGGGTAAAGTCATAGCATATTGGGGTAATCACTTAGCATTTATTTCTATGTGAATTAATGCTTTGACAAATATATCCTGTGAATAAATTATGATGGCTACGGCCTGCTGGTATTTATACATCTGTTTGCTTTCTTTCTTTATTTTTTAAAGAACTGAATGAATTTGATAAATTACAACTTAGCCCACCCAAATGAGACATATAACATCCCCTTAAACCAGTAAATTCACTCTGGGTTCCAGAAATGCACCTGTGTCATTTACACGGGTAAGAAATAAGAAAGCACAGGTAGTGAATCCAAAGTCAACACAGATAACTTATGAGTTGAGGGCTCAGCATCAAGTAAATTATGATAAATTATGATCACCTTCCCAACAATAATGGTGATCTGGGTCATCTATAACAGTTTTCTGTACGATAGTGTCTCTTTAAAGAGAGAAATTCTTCTTGCTTCTGGAAGATGCTAAGTCGCTAGGAGCGAACTCTCTAGTCACCTGAGGTCACAACTTCCAGGAAGGTAAAGACACCGAAAGACACACACACACAAAAGCAGCCCGGGCCTCCCAATCTGTACCCGTTTCTACATGGACTGGCTGCCAGCAGAAAACTCTCATCACGCTTCACGTTCCTATTCAGAATTTCCTCTGTTTCTTTCCCTTTTAAAAACACTGTCTTTGGAAAGTACTGAATTACAAACTGCATTAAAAATAACTTTACCGTACTGCCTGCAGTCTGCCACAGGGGGGAAGAGCCTCCACAGAATAAGGTTGTTGAGATGACCCAGGTAGGATGGCAGGGAATGAAAGCCCTTCTGATTGTACAACACCCAAAAAAGAAAGAGAACTTAACGGCCCTCATGAAATTAGTTCTGAAGTCTATCCATCAGCGGTTCTTGCATGCGAGGAGCACATGTAAACTAACTTCACCTGAACGCAGGCCTCGGAGCACTGGTCCTGCATGGCTGATAGTGAGCGGTGAATTCCAGTCTGCTAATTTTGTATTTATCTCCAGCATATAATTTACGGCTAAAAATAGATTAATTTTCTGCAGAACAAATGTTGAGTGTTGCTCTATGATTATATTCTCACAGCAAAAAGGGAATCTAAGCCCAACATTTTTTTTTCTTTCTCAGTTGATAAGCTAATGAAATTTGACCTGCAAATTAAAAGCAAGCAAATGATAAGAAAAAAAATGATGACTTTCAAATTAATAACTGAATGTGGAACGTTATTTCTCAAAATAAATTGAAGTGAACATTTGCTGAGCATGGAGAATAAGGCAGCAGGCCTGTCAGGCAGGAGAAAGGTGAAGCAGAAATAGGAGACAGACAATGCTATTAACGTTGAAATAAGAAGTAGCATAAAAAATGCTAATTGAACCATCAGTGTCTATATTTCAAAAGATCAATACTTTAATAAAAACTTTTTAAATGTACTCAGTTTGGAATGCTGGCGAGTGTCTTTAAGAGGTATAATGAATCAACTGGCAAATTCTGACCTTAATTCAAGTTCAGTTCTCTAGATGATGCCACCTTCTGTGACAGACAACCTTCTTTCTGGGACTAGAGCTGCTCCCCAGCAAGTTCATGCTCGAAGGAGGCTGTGTAGGTTCTCACAGTTTGTGCAAAGTCAGGGCCGCATCACAAGTCCCTCGGCTTCCGACCCAATCCCCCCACTCTCGTCACAGGGTGACCAGTCGTTTTCCGCCAGGGTCCTGTGTTCACGGGGACAGCTGGGCTACCACTCATGACAATGCCGGTCTACACAGGACAGCGACCCCAGTTATTTATCAGAGAGCCCACATCCCTAGGCAAGGCAGGAAGCAGCAGACCCCTTCCCTCTTTCACGGCAGCTGTCACTACACACCCCCTTCTTCAAATATTTTCTTAGGTTCAGGGAAATCCTTAGCAGTCATTCTTCCCAACTCCAAGGAAGAAGAAATGCCACCTGAGACCAACTATCCACAGACCCGGGGCGTCCAGGTGGATCTGAGACTGGTCACAAAAGCCGCCACAGGTTCGCAGTGTGTGCAATTCCGACACGCGATTCTGAAAAGCAGGGAAAAGTGTGGGTGTCCCTGACGGGGCAGCTCTCCCTGCACTGAGGTCGCCTGCCAGGGTGTTCACCCGCTCCTGTGCCCGGCCCAGCAACCCTGGGTCCTGTAGGCCTGGGCCGGGCCCCTGGCACTCCCACCTCAACCCCACACAGCCACAGATGTGCTGACACTGAGGATCTAGCCGTGTTTCTGGAAAGGATACAAGCGCAAGCCTCTGTTAAAGTCAAGGGACAGGCTGAAACAGTCGGAACCTCAGCGTGTGGACAGGAACCCCCAGGACCACGGTCCATGACCTCCCGACCCCCAATCTTGGCTCCTGTAACTGCTTCACTGGAGCGAAACGTATGAAAAAGGCAATGGTAGTCTTTGCCCTGGATCTGGGGTCTTCAGATGTTGTTTTGTTTCATTTGTTTGTTTTAATTTTTGTTTTAAAAGCAGGGAGATTTTTTTTTCCAGCTTAAGAATGACACTGTATAAAAACATGGAAACTGGAGTGGGGCAGCTGTGTGGGCCTGGGGGACCCGGGATCCTGGGCACCTGCAGCCCCTCCCCGTGGGCTTGTGGTTTCTGTGTCAGGTCCCGTTTATGCCCCGCTTCTCCTACGTTCTTGGCTGAGGGACTCTGATGTCCTCCCTCTGGCCCAGGCTCAGCCCCTACGCCTCTGCTGTCACTATAGCACCCAGCCTGGCCGCCAGGACTGGGTCCCCAGCTGCCACGCCCAGCAGCCAGCAAACCTCTCCGCCCAGGTCCCCAGTCTCCAGGCCCAAGGTCGAGAGGGACGCCTCAGTACAGAGACCAAGTCACAGGTGTGGCCGTGAAACCCTGTGACGGTTGCTGACGGAGGGGTGGTGTTGAGTGACCCTCTCAGGGGACGAAGGGGTTGAACCCGGAGAACCCTGACTTCACCAAATACCAGTGATTAACTCCAGAGGGTGCAGCCTGAACTAACAGGATCCACGATGCAGCCTGTGGACCTCAGTGAGATTATGGAAAGGCCCGGGTGCTCCATGGGGGCGAAGTCAGAGGGCAAGGGTGCTGCCACACTGGACCGAGAGGGCTCCAGGCCAGCTCTCTACAGGAAGGAGACCGGCAAGGAGCTGCTCCAATGGCCTGTTTCCAAATCTCCACCCGTGGCTGTCAGGGAAGATGGGAGAAGCGCCCGGCAGAGTCAGGGGCGCCAAGGATGTGGTTGTGGGGACAGTCCCAGGGGGTGGCAGGGTCTGGCTCGGGACACCCCCCCACCCCCGGGAGCGAGGCCTTTGCTGAGCCCTGCTCTGTGAAGGCCAGATGCCGACGGCCCTGTTGGCCGTGACTGCCCAACCTACAGCACCTTTCTGGTGATGGGTGACTGGCGCACAGAGTTCCAAGGAACAGTCTGAACTTCATTTTGGTTCTTCTATAAATTGGCCTTCGCTTGGGAGAAATTTTATAAATTCTTCAAGCAACAGATGTTTCATAATGACCTTTAAATTAACATTTAAGGTTAAGCACAGTTCAAAGGAAGAGCTTTTCTTTTTCTTTTTTTCTCTTCCAAGAATGTTTCCCTGAAATACTGGACCATTCTCTGGAAGTAAGTTGTGGGATTTCCCTCCCTGCCAGCCCGTAAGTCAGGACACAGCGAAATCCAGTAACTGAAGGAGGGAGTCAGCCTCCTTTTAGGGACACATCCTGACACCTCAGAACAGACCTTCCATCTCAGGATCCCGAGTAACAGTTCCTCAGAAAGGCAACTGAGTAACTGTAGGAAAAAAAATCACTGGATGGATATTTAAATGGCTAAAAGTCTATGTGAGAATAGAATGAATGCCAAACACCAGGAGTTTGGCCTTTTTAACTAAAGTGCATACCTTCTAGAGGGTGTTTAATTAAACCAGCTGAACACTCAAGATGTGAATGAAATAACTCATAAAGGTTCCACGAGAGACATTCTACAATACAATGAATTTATAAGTATTAAACCTGTTCCTATGCAAATTGTCCATTTTCTCCTCAGAAAGACCATGAAAATCACTCCGTGTCTTATGACTGTACCCCAAAGGCCAAAGTTAAAGGCTGGTGGCTAATTACTGAAAGGTTAATGCATAATCTGACACGATATCAACCACCAACAGTGCTGTAGGGATTTCAGACAACAGACGCCCTTTGCAGCCAGTGCGGTAGGGTGACTACTGGGCTTCTTTCCATCCCCAGAGGGCTGCATACCATTGGCTTGCATGCCCGTGCCTGGCCAAGTCCACGTCAAACAACATTAAAAGCTGCAGAAGTCACTAGTCAAACATGTCAATACAGAAGACAAATGAAGAGAGAAAAGAACAGGTGCCAGGGAGACACAGGGATCCTGTGCCCTCATCACAGAAGCAGAGATACAGGGAGACCCCGGATCCTGAAAGCAAGGACACGACAGCCCACTGTCAACAGAGGGCTTAGGATTTGGACAGATTAGAAAGTTAAAATGTTCTGAGAGGAAATGAGTAGATTCCTTCTACAAATTGGGTTGATTTTAATAACAGCCCCATCCCGTGTTCAAAAGCCAGCAAATGTATTTTAGGTATTTTTCTATCAAGCTATGAATCTTGATATTTTTGTATTAAGCTATAAATCTCATGCATGTGGCCTACAAGGTAAGAGGTCTGAACAAATCTCAGCTGAAAGAGGGGTTTCTGAACAGTCCACACAGGGACTAAAATTTTTCATCAGGGATTATGTTGTGAAATACGACTGTTAACACTTTTTTCCGGAATTGCATCGTGAAGTATGAATGTTAGCATTTTCCTCAGGGATTACATTGTCAAAACCTGGAAAGAACCTTTATTCCAATGAGTAAGCCTGCACCAGGCACAAGCCCAGATCTTGATAAGCTTTTCCGTGTCCCCAGGAACCATGAAGGCCCAGCCTTCATGAAAGGTAGGGACATTTCATTAGTGATATGACAGGTTTACAAGCAGACACTTCACTCCCAGGATCTACTCTTTCCCAATTTTTCTCTCAGTCAGGACCGACACCAGACAACTATTTCCCCAATCGCCGAAGACTGAAAGCTTCGGATATTTTCCCATCTTAAGGTTGTACTGACTTCTTTCCTTGGAGAAACCTGTCCTGATTCACTGCTTCTAAGTTCCCGCTGGTGGGTAAGGGCGTCTTCCTCTATCCTAGCCCTCCTTCCCTCCCAGCCACTTTTGGTGATGCCAAGGAAACTTTCCTCATTCACAGGGACAGTCTCCGCAGGGCTTGAAAATCCAGCCCCTCGGAGGAGTCCACCATTTTCTTTGTGTCCATCCAGCTCTGGGTCCATCCAGCCAGCAGAAAGAGGAGGAATTTAAGTGCACGTATCAAAATCACCGTTATCCTGACAACGAATGTCTTTAAACACAGATTATTTTCTCATCTGCTTTAGATCCATCAGGTGTATTCTGATCATAACAAAAGAAAGTGACCTATTTCATATATTTCTATACAGCCTAAAGGAAAACGAAAACTAAATTCATTTTCTCCTTCAAGGGAATGTTTATGAACAACTGGCTTTATTTCTCAGTAAAAACACTGGGATTTGGTTTGATTCCGCCTGTACCCACAAAGGTATTTACAAAGCAAGTTTCCCTGACTTCTTTCTAAAACAAGAAGTAAAAAAAGAAAAAATATTACCTTTGCCAAAGTTCTGGGTTTTGATATATTTGAATGTGCGTCTTGAACTTAATCAGGGATTCTCACTCCAAAAGACCACCCTCCAAGCCTGCTGACAGTGAAGGCGGTGTTAGTGTGTGAACCAGGCAGCACCAGGCCTTCCTAACAGAGGGCCTCCCCCACCCACTGGTCATAGAAACCTCAGAACAGCAGCTGCTGAGCCCCCAGGCTCCGTGCCGTGGTCTCACGGGGCTCAGCCTGCAGGAGGACGTGGCCTGGCCGCTCAGAACTTACCAACGTGTTAGGAAACACATGCCGCGTAAGGACACGGCTGTGGTCCCTGCACCACGGTTATTTTAATTAATTGTTGTTTCTCCTACAAATCAGCTTTCAGAATCACTTAGTCTGTCGGGCTCTTCTGAGTTACCCTGTTTTGAATTGTTTTCTCTTCCCTACTCTTGCTTCTTTAATCCTCAGTGCAAACAAGGCCTCCTTCAGGAAGGCATCCCCGGCTTCTTTGATTGGGGTGCATTTCCTTCTCTTCGGGGTTCTCACAATACCCTACATTTCCACTTATTGTGTCAATTGCTACTCTGGGTTTTAACTGTCTTCCTGCTAGTTTGTCTCTTATGCGGCTCCATGAGACTCTCCCGGGTACCTTGTCAATTGCTACTCTGGGTAGGTACTGTCTTCTTGCTAGACAGGTACTGTCTTCTCGCTAGTTTATCTCTTCTGAGGCTCCGTGAGTCTCTCGCGGGTACAGTGTCAATTGCTACACTGGGTTTTAACTGTCTACTTGCTAGTTTATCTCTTATGCAGCTCTGTGAGTATCTCCCGAGTACTGTGTCAATTGCTACTCTGGGTTTTAACTGTCTTCTTGCTAATTTATCTCTTATGTGTGTCTGTGAGCCTCTAACGGGTGGGAATTACATCTTTTGTCTCCCTATCCCTTGGGCTGTGTAGTATCTGGCACTCATGAAGCTTCTAAAAATATTGGACCTTAGAAATAAAAACACATATTAAACTTTGTCTCCCAGTCTCTGATAAAAGGAGCTTGAAAAACAAACGTTCACCGTCGTGCCCGGACTCTCAGCAGAAATTTTGGGGCACAGGAATAAGGAGGTGTTCCCACCCGGCTCCATTTAACTCATGCATCCATTCACTCATTTCAGAGACATTGATTGAGTGTCTTTTGTATGCCAGATACTATTCTACGTCCTGGCCACACAAACTCCAACCTGCAAAACGCAGAGATTCTGGGACGTGTTTAAAGACCTGAGGAGTGGGCAGCAGGTGAGATTCAGGCAAAGTTCAGTGGGGCCGGAGATGGTCCAGGAAGGACCAGAGATAAAGAGAGCCTGGGGGCAGGGGGGTTGTTTCAGGCACCTCGGACACACCATGCAATGATTTTGCGTTGGGGTCTCAGGAAATTTGATGGGGTGGTGAATGTGATTGCAATTCAAAGCAATGAGAAGCTCATCCCTACCCCCTCAACCTAGATTCACCCTCTTAGGCTCACGGAAATGCAGCACAGAACAAAAGCTTTCCCCAAAATCGCAGGAGAAGAACCTTAAGACACCAGGGAGACGATTATTTCATTATGCTGTTAACGTCTCTGGGCTCATTCTCTAAAGCTCTCAAGCTGCGTCTGTCTCCCCAGGTGACTCTCCATGGACGGGATTCCCCCAGGGCAAGAAAGTCGGCAGGAGGAATCTGATTAGGCCTGCCGCATTTCTTTGGAATTCTTATGAGTTGGTACTAGACTTCTGAGTTTTGAAGAGCATCGGCATTTGAAACACTCGTATTTCTGAAGTAATTCTGGGAACAGGGAAGAGCCAGCGCCGGTTTCAAACCCACCTTGGTTTTTCCTCCAGCGCCAGCAAATACTCCGGGGGAGGCCGGAGAGGTTGAGCAGCCTGTGGCCCAGGCGGACGGTCAGGTGGGGAGCCCTGGTGCTTCCACTGGGGCACTTCTGCAATTGTTTCCAAAGACGTCAAGTAGAAGCTTATTCATAACCCACACACAGGTTTACTGATATTAAAGTAAACGTGACTTTTCCTAGCTGTCATGTTTTCAGTGAATCATCGCTGGCTCTTTACATGTTCTCAAATCTCTTTAAGAGTCACCTGTTGATACATTTGAGAACTCTGCTAGAATTCCACTGCAACCTTTGCTGTCAGATTTGGGAACTTCCCAACCTTTTCCTGTATGTAAGCCTGGGCAGATTTGTAAGAACTCAGAAGGTGAAAAATGTTTTCACTAGGGTGACCTCGCACTTGACGAACCAGAAAGAGAGTCAGAGGATGATGGGCAAAAAGTTCAAAGGAACGTGTTTCTTCCCTAAATGCCTCACAGGCTTAGAATCAGGAAATATTTGCCAAGCAGGGACCACCCCGACTCCCGCTTTCCTGAGGGCCTCTGACTCCTAACACGGGGACCACAACTTCTGCCCAAGCACACAATGCCACAAAAAACAAGGATTCTTCAGCTGAGTCATTTGCAGGAAACGCTGCGTCTTTTCCACCCCTTGTGTAATGATTCATACATGATAACAGCATCTTGCAAGAGCTACAGCAAAGAGCCCTGTTAACCAGGGCTTTATCTGGCGTTTCTGAAGCTGCCTCGGCCGTGGAGCTTTTTCATGGGAAATGCTTTTCTTCTTGCACACATATGACTGAGGTCTCACATGAGGTTCACGTGAGTTGCAGTGAATTCACATCAACCACTTGGTACTTGTTCATTCATTCCTCTGCCACTGACACTCAATCTCGTTCCGGGAAATTTTAGGGAGCTGGTAACAAAAGGTACCAGTCTCACAGGATGATTAGATCAAAGCCACAGAATAAGAGCATGGAGTGAAAATTTACAGGGTTCATGAGTTAATGGAATAAACAAGACGGGGAAGAAACAAATCACTGTGTCCAAAAAGAACTTGAGCAGAACAGCTGCTCACTGCAAAGGAGCACCAGTCAGTAGTCTCTGGTGGGTCCCACCTGGACATCCCCCTCACTGCTGTGTAACTGCCTCACTTACATCCAGACATTTGGTCTAGGAGAAGAAAGCAGACCGGGTCCATGGAAAGGAAGACTTCCTAAAGTCACTAAACTATTAGGAGGGGTGTATCCCACAGGCCACTAAACAGAAAGGCCCTGTCAACATGTTCAAGTGGCCGTTTTCTTAACAGATCCTGAATTTCAATTAAGATTTCGCTTTTCCTTTTTCAGTAAATTAAGATTGCCATATCAGCTTGCTGATTGTGGCTCATAGGCCTGTGCCTTTTATGAATTGCCTTTTGAGATTTCCTTTGAAGTGAGCTCCAACCAGTTTTCCATATAAGTTTCACTCCATTCTCCTCCGCAGACTAGACAGCAATGCCTTGCACTGTAACAGGGGAAAACCCACTTCCGTGTGCTCTCGTACGGATCGACCATAGTTAGAAGAGCCAAGTGCTGTCTTAGCTTTTAAAATCTAGCTCTCAAAACTCAAATAAGAATACAGCAAGAGCTTGAGGTCATCCTGCCTTGAAATTCTGGGAAATTTCCCCCCAAAGGGCAATCCTAGCTTCCTCAGCATTAGTTGGAGAAGATTCCTTTGCTTCGTGAACACTGCTGGACAGTCACCGACCATGACCAGTGGGCAATGAACAGGAGGACCACACTGGAAACCATGTCACGACACCTTTCCAAGAAGCAGCTCATCGAGTCACCCTAAAGGTCATTTAGTTCAAAAGTTCATTTAGTTAACAAAAGTGAAGGTTTTTCAGGTGGGGGTGAACTCATCTTTGTTCCTTGAGGTTTAGACTTTTTAGAAATAAAAAACACGGTGGAAACCTACCAGGCAGCCGCAGGACTCCTGGACTTCTGGGTGAGAGAAGGGGTCCATGCACCAGCAGGAAGAATTCCCCCTGACACAGCGAAGGAGAGATGGGATGATCCTGAGATCACAGAGCTGCTGTATTCCCATGAAAGCATCCCCCAGACTGGAGCGCAGCTCATGAGAGTATCATCTCGCACTGCAGAAGGCCAAGCGTTCACATTTGTTTTCACAGCTTGAGCTGTTAATCTGAGGATAACGTTCTATTGCAATGACAATATTTCCATTATATTAAATGATGCTCACTCTGTTCGTGCATTGAATGTATACCGAGGCTCCTGGGACCTTCAGCAGGGACTCGGGGGGCTGTCGTGAACCTTGGGGCTCCTGGTGGCTAAACCAGGAGCCCTCAGCACCAGTGTAGCAATTAATAAACACGGGTAGTTGCTAATTCCTTTTCATCGTGTGACACTGTAATTGAATCATCATTTAAAGAAAGGCAACTAGTATTAATTTTCCATTATGAAGAACCACAGTGCCACAGAAATTGCTATGAAAACAACTGATAGCAGAGGTTCAGAACCCTTTATTTTTTTCTTTAATTTTTATTTTATATTGGAGCATAGTTGATTAACAATGTTGTGTTAGTTTCAGGTGTACAGCAAAGTGATTCAGTTATACATATACATGTATCTATTCTTTTTCAAATTCTATTCCCATTTAGATTGTTACATAATATTGAGCAGAGTTCCCTGTGCTCTACAGCAGGTCCTTGTGGGTTATCTATTTTATATATAGTAGTGTGTGTATGTTAATCCCAAACTCCCTAACTATCCCTCCCCCCACACACATCCTTCCCCCCGGTTACCATAAATTCATTCTCTAAGTCTATGAGTCTGTCTCTGTTTTGTAAATCAGTTCACTTGTATCTTTTTTTTTTTTAGATTCCGAATATAAGCCATATCGTATGGTGTTTGTCTTTCTCTGTCTGACTTGCTTCACTTAGCATGATCATCTCCAGGTCCACCCATTTTATTCCAAAGCTCCCTATAACTTTTCTCCTTGTTAGGCCTCATACTTTTTTTTTTTTCACTAATGTTTGTAAATTAAAATCTGCTTTAGTAATGATAATTGTGTCTTACTCAAAAATTGGGGGAGAAAGGAGGAAAACTGACATTTACTGAACTACAGGTGCCCCGCTAGGTGCTTTTACTACAACCGCTTGCCAGCCTCGCTTTTGGGAAGAGGGAGTGGGATTGTCAGAGGCCAGGGGCTCACCCAGCATCACACTTTGGAAGACGGTCTTTTGACCTCTGAGCCCTCACTTTTTGCTCCAGACCTTGATGCTCCAACGTGAGAACATCAAGGTGAAACACGTCCAGTCCCATGAAAAGAAACCTACCATTTCTATTAACAAGGTTAGCAAAGTACAATTTCCATGTAAATTTCTGAAATAACAAAAATAATTTCAAGGCTTTGCTGGTGTGACTTTCTCGGTTAAGCAGACAATGGGGACTCCAGTTTGAGTCCTGAAAGTGAACAGGGAAATATCACCTAAGGGAGTGATGTGTTTCATCGGACTGCTTGCTGTATCTGATGATTACTTGAGGAAAAAAATGACTCCGTTTACACTTCTTGAGCTCAGGGCCTCCCCTGCTTTAGCCGCAGGCCTGCAGTGACTGTGGGCAAGTGTTCACAGCATAATGAATTTCTCCAAAAAGTCCTCTTTGTCCCTTCCAAATCCTCCACTAGTTCTTCTCCTGGCTGCCTGTTAGAGAGGAATCAGATGTGACCCGCAGAGCTGCACAGAGACCAGCCACAGCATTGCACAGATTCTGGATTTCGGAGCCGCCCAGTCTCCAGGAAGTTCTGAGCTGCAGGAACCACGTGAAGTTGCACTCACAGGGGAGGATGGAGGGGAGGAAACGTGAGGATCAGACACGTCCACTTCCCTCCGGTGTCAGGACCCCAAGCACCCAGTCCCTCGGCTTTTTGTGGCACCTGGCCGGGCTCTGCAGGACACACGAGCAGTGACAGTCATCCCGAGTGACGTGCCTGACACAGTCCCTCTGTCCGCCGGGTTTGGCAAGGCCGGATCAAAGGCTGGCCCCTCTGACACAGGCCCGCTGCCTGCAGTTTCAACTGTCAGAGTGCACTTTGCATCTCAGCATGAGGAAGGCATTCTCAGGACCTACTCCTAAGAGAGGAAGTTCTGACACAAACTCTCCTAAAGGAGCCAAAAGCCTGGCACAGGGGCCACCCTGTGGTCCAAGGTGACACTTGCTCTCTCTTGAGAAGTGGGAGCAGGGTGATGTTAACGGAGCAGAGGAAGGTAAGGCAGGGCCCAGACCACACAAGGAGGACGCGGCAGAGCTAGGATGTGGGCTCGTGCAACCCCGCCCAGAATCTGGGTCCCACCTTTTCCAGGGTGCCGGACATGTGCCCTCTGGGTGCTTTTGCCCCCTGACCTCAACTTTCCATCTCCCCAGGCCCATCTGAGGGAAGCTGTCACAGCCGTGCCAGGAGCGAGGGCCCGACCTCGTGAGCCAGGGACTCTGGCACCTCAGAGATCATTTCTCAAACTGCTGCCATCTAACCATGGACACGAACCCAACCAATCTCCCCACTTGGCTTTGAACGTGCAATAGAAATATAAGATTTGCTCACTACCACTCTGTTCTATACAAAACAGTATCAAGAATGAGTGGGAAAAGTGACTGTTTTACTTCAGGGGTAGTAGGGAAATCACGGCTGGAGTGCCACCAGACTCAAGCCCTGGGACATAAGCCTTGGTATTGAAATCTCCCAGTCTGCTTCTAAAGGCTGGGAACTTCAGCGCATTTTAAAATTTAAATTAGGCATCATCTACTATAATGGGAAAATGTAAAGTTTAGTTCATGTTTATACCACAGTAGCTTTTTCTGAAGATTTTTGCTGCCTTCTGTGCGAAAGGAGGTAAAGGCAGGAGTTCAACTTGGCTCCCACAACCTGAGCTCAGAGTCTGAACAGAAAAACAGTCAATACGCAGAACCTCATCTATCGTTTTAAAATGTTTCTGTTAATTCATAATCAAACGATGACTAAAGTCTGCCTAAAATGGAATACGTAGATATTGAATTCAACAATGTTTTACACTTACAGTAGGACACATATTTGTTTTAAATAAAACATTTTGCTTCGATCTGGGACTTCAGTAAATCAAGCCTTTTTGTGTAACATGGACAGAAATTATCATTGATAGAAGGATCCAAAGCACCCCCTTGTATAAGGCACCCCGCGCCCCAGCTTTTTGTCATGCGGACCAAGGAAAAGAGTAGAAATGGTTACAAAGTAGGAATGAGTTAAGAGATAAGGATTTCACAAAGAAAGAGGCAGAAACAGAAACAGACCAGGAAGGCAGAAGAAAGTTGAGGGCGGAACAGTGAGCATGGTCCGCAGACTGGGGGAGCGGGGGCACAGCTTTGGGGCCCGCTGCCCTTCCTCCAACAGTATCTGAAGGTAAAACAGACGTCTGAGCAGAATTCGGAAAATGTTCTGCTCCCTGAACATTGACTCTACTTCTTTTTCCCTCTTGAAAGACTAGATACTCCAATTAAAAAAAAAAAAAATCTCCCAACAAACAAAAGCCCAGGACCAGACAGCTTCACAGGCAAATTCTATCAAGTATTTAGAGAACAGCTAACACCCATCCTTCTCAAACTCTTCCAAAATATAGCAGAGGGAGGAACACTCCCAAACTCATTCCATGAGGCCACCATCACCCTGATACCAACAACAGACAAAGATGGCACAAAAAAAGAGAACTCAGGCCAATATCACTGATGAACATAGATGCAAAAATCCTCAACAAAATACTAGCAAACAGAATCCAACAGCACATTAAAAGGATCATACACCATGATCAAGTGGGGTTTATCCCAGGAATGCAAGGATTCTTCAATATATGCGAATCACTCAATGTGATAAACCATATTAACAAATTGAAGGAGAAAAACCACATGATCATCTCAATAGATGCATAGAAAGCTTTTGACAAAATTCAACACCCATTTATGAGAAAAACCCTGCAGAAAGTAGGCATAGAGGGAACTTTCCTCAACATAATAAAGGCCATATATGACAAGCCCACAGCCAACATCATCCTCAATGGTGAAAAACTGAAAGCATTTCCACTAAGATCAGGAACAAGACAAGGTTGCCCACTCTCACCACTATCATTCAACATAGTTTTGGAAGTCCTAGCCATGGCAATCAGAGAAGGAAAAGAAATAAAAGGAATCAAACTGGAAAAGAAGTAAAACTGTTACTGTCTGAAGATTACATGATACTAAACATAGAGAACCCTAAAGGTGCTACCAAAAAACTATTAGAGCTAATCACTGAATTTGGTAAAGTTGCAGGATACAAAATTAATGCACAGAAATCTCTTGCATTCCTATATACTAACAATGAAAGATCAGAAAGAGAAATTAAGGAAACAATCCCATTTACCATTGCCACAAAAAGAATAAAATACCTAGGAATAAATCTACCTAAGGAGGCAAAAGACCTGAACACAGAAAACTATAAAACACTGATGAAAGAAATCAAAGATGACACAAACAGATGGAGAGATATACCATGTTCTTGGATTGGAAGAATCAATATAGTGAAAATGACTATAGCACCCAAACCAATCTACAGATTCAATGCAATCCCTATCAAATTACCAATGGCATTTTTCACAGAATTAGAACAAAAAGTTTAAAAATTTGTATGAAAACACAAAAGACCCTGAATAGTCAAAGCAATCTTGAGAAGGAAAAATGGAGCTGGAGGGATCAGACTCCCTGACTTCAGACTATACTACAAAGCTACAGTAATCAAGACAGTATGGTACTGGCACAAAAACAGGAATATAGATCAGTGGTACAGGATAGAAAGTCCAGAGGTAAATCCATGCAGCAGTGGTAACCTAATCTATGACAAAGGAGGCAAGAATATACAATGGAAAAAAGACAGCCTCTTCAATAAGTGGTGCTGGGAAAACTGGACAGCTACATGTAAAAGAATGAAATTAGAACACTCCCTAACACCATACACAAAAATAATCTCAAAATGGACTAAGAACTAACTGTAAGGCCAGACATTATAAAACTCTTAGAGGAAAACACAGGCAGAACCCTCTATGACATAAATCACAGCAAGATCCTTTTTGACCCACCTCCTAGAGGAATGGAAATAAAAACAAAAATAAACAAATGGGACCTAATTAAACTCAAAAGCTTTTGCACAGCAAAGGAAACCATAAACAAAGCGAAAAGACAGCCCTCAAAATAGGAGAAAATATTTGCAAATGAAGCAACAGACAAAGGATTAATCTCCAAAACATACAAACAGCTCATGCAGCTGAATATCAAAAAAACAAACAACCCAATCCAAAAATGGGCAGAAGACCTAAATAGTAATTTCTCCAAAGAAGATATACAAATTGCCAACAAACACATGAAAAAATGCTCAACATCACTAATCATTAGAGAAATGCAAATCAAAACTACAATGAGGTATCACCTCACACTGGTCAGAATGGCCATCATCAAAAAATCTACAAACAATAAATGCTGGAGGGTGTGGAGAAAAGCGAACCCTCCTGCACTGTTGGTGGGAATGTAAATTGATACAGCCACTATGGAGAACAGTATGGAGGTTTCTTAAAAAACTAAAAATAGAACTACTGTATGATCCAGCAATCCCACTCCTGGGTATATACCTGGAGGAAACCATAATTCAAAAAGATACACGCACCCCAATGTTCATTGCAGCACTATTTATAATAGCCAGGACATGAAAGCAACTTAAATGTCCATCAACAGAGGAATGGATAAAGAAGATATGGTACATATATATAATGGAACATTACTCAGCCATGAAAAGGAATGAAATTGGATCATTTGTAGAGACGTGGATGGACCTAGAGTCTGTCATACAGAGTGAAGTACATCAGAAAGAGAAAAACAAATATCGTATATTAACGCATATTTGTGGAATCTAGAAAAATAGTACAGATGAACCTATTTCCCGGGCAGGAATAGAGACACAGACATAGAGAATGGATGTGCGGACACATGGGGGAAGGTGGGGAGCTAAGCTCAGTGCTCTGTGATGACCTAGATGGGTGGGATGGGATGGGAGGGGGAGGGAGGTCCAAGAGGGAGGGGATATATGTATACTTATAGCTGATTTACTTCACTGTTTGGCAGTAACTAACACAACATTGTAAAGCAATTATACTCCAATAAAATATATATATACCTTTTTTTTCTGCCAACTGTTCTTCCTTTGTTGCCAGGTTGGGCCCAGACTACATCCTTCAGGGCCACGGGTTATATTTCAATTTCTCAAAGGTAGACGCTTTTAACATCCTGTGTGTTTCTTTGGACAGAAGGGAAATAAAAGCATCACCATGGAAGCTTTTATTTAGTTAAAAAAAATTACTTTCTTTTTCAAGAGAAAACTAAAGTGAAACAACATAATTAATTTTCTATTAATTCTTCCTCACTGAGACTGCTAACAGTTACTCGGCCTTGTGCTAATCACCAACGTGACTAACGCACAGAATGTCATCCCAAATTAGGAAAACATATGCCAATATTGTATTATTGTCTGGATTTTTAAATTTATTATGAAAAACATACACTTTAGTACTTAATACATCGTTATGGCTTTTATCACTTTCCCCATTTGTAAATTCTTGAGGCGGGGGCCATGTGCTCCATCAATCCTGGTTCCTACAACAACATGATATTTATAGTAGATCCTCAAATAACAGTCGAGCAAAATAAGAAAGAGAGAAGAAAGGTATGTTTATGAAGAAAGGCATGTTTTATCAAGGTTTCATGAAAGGTCATCTCTATAGTATCATTTGCAAAACCTAGAAAAAAAAAGTCTTCAAAGTAATTCACACCCACACTGATGTTACGGACTTTTTCACTCCCTTTAGTTAAAAAAAGTACAATTAATCTTTTCATAGGTACGAGTTTACCCTAAAAGTAAGCAACAGTTACTACGTATTTCATACTTAATTGCTACCTTATTCTTTTAGCTTTGTTCTTTTGGGGTTTTAGTTAGCAAAGGGAATGTTATTCATTATTAATTAATGGGTTTTGCAATGATATAAAGCGTGTATCCACCAAGGAAGGGAAGGAGCGATGATGGAGCTTATTTCGGGTCATTTTAGACAGCAGCACCCTCAGGCCTGCTCAGTCTCAGCCCTACAGTGAGAACAGGCGACACAGTCCTGGAGACGCCAGTCCTGCAGCCTGGGGGCGGCTGGCTGGAGGCTGCATTTCTGCATCGGACACTTACAGGTCTGAGTGTAAGTCAGCACAGAGCAGGTCCTGATCCCCAAACTTCCACAAAAGCACGCGGCGGAGCTCCACGTCACCGTTCTCACTGCTGCTTGTCATGAGACGAAGGAAACAAGGTGGGAGGTTAGTACTTGCCTGGGAGCTCACGTGACAGTCTGTCAGAGAGAGCCCAGGCCAACTGTCCAGGCGCATGTTCCTAGCAGCACAGATAGAGCTAATCGTTCACCTTTTTTATGGTGAAGCCAAACCAGCAACCGGATGAAGAAATGTCTTAAAAGCACAGTTTTACCACCACAGATAATGCATTTTTATATACTTGCATTCAAGTGTATTATTTTTCTCATCCTTTCACTTAAAATTATAATATTACCAACTCTGGCATTTTTGTATGTTTTTTAAAAATTAATTTTAAAGGCTGCATTGTATTACATCATGTTAATATATTAAAGTCTACAAAACTATTCTCTGACTGCTAGAGCTCTGATTTGCTATCAGTACGTGTCCTATAGCATAGCCCTGCAACAAAACAACTTCCATTTTTCATAAAGTAGTTTAATTTTTTTATTTTATTTATTTATGTTTTTGGCTGCGCTGCACAGCCGTGGAATCTTAGTTCCCCGGCCAGTGATCCAACCCGTATCCCCTGCAGGGGAAGCACGAAGTCTTAACCACTGGACCTCCAGGGAAGTCCCACAGAACAGCTTCTTCTATCTGCTTTCTTGTGTGTTTCTACATGTGAATTATATTGAACCTTTTCTTGATAAGAAGTCCTATGTGTGCTTTAAGGACACAATGAATTATAGTATCTCTTTCACTGGCACAAATCTCAGAAGTCTGTTCACAGTTCAAGCAGCATCTATGGGAACCAAGGCCACCAAGGTGGAATCTCCTTATTGAAGACACCATCAAAGACAAGACACACTATTCTCATAGCCTGGGAGAGATACAGAAACAAACTCTACATTAAATGTTATCCATCAATTGTAAGAAATATCTTGGCTTGAGAAAATGTAAAGGAGACGATATTTTAAACCTGGCTGATTAGGAGTGGGGCTCATTTCAATTAATTAAAATTCTGGATGATAAGTGTTTATGAAAGAATAGAGATTTATTACTTTCTAGAACTTATATCATGTAATTTACAAAATGCTTTTGAATAGACATCGCTGGGAACACTTATCCTCAAAATAAAGGAAAAAATGAGATATCATTTGCATGTGAACGATGACCTCAAATTTTTGGAAAGAAGCAGTATATAAATTAACAAATGAGCATAAATGTTTTTTTCTAAAGAACTTCAACATTAGCTTCTCTTAAGAAACGTAGACACTGCAAAGTAACCTTCAACCACTGATTCTTCTAATCGATTTCTTTGTTTATAGACAAAGCAGAGTTGACTCCTGAACACCTTTTGACTTTCTACCAGCGATTAAACCTGGGGAGGTCTGGGTAGGTGAGGTTCGTGCACCCCGCTTCCTGAAAGTACACGTCAAAGCCCAGAATGAGGCGCAATGTCCATCCTCGAGCAGTGCAGCCTCAGCACAGACGGGGACTTTACAGAGATTCCCAATTTCCATAATCGGCAGTGAGCCTCTCATGCAGCAACCTGGTGTATTCTCTGCTCAAAATATATCACTGGTTCCCTGTCACCTATGAGCCTTGAAAGAGTATTCAAGTCCCTCCCTGCTCTTCCCGACTTTCTCTCCCAGAAGGCACCGCGGCCCAGCCCAGTGGAACCGCCTTCTGACGGGGTGGACCAGCTCCCTCTGAAGGGCATCCGCTTCCCTGCTACCTGGTTGGACACCGTCTCCAGCCACTAAGCCCCAAGCTCCTCCTCCTGTGAGCCCCCCTCTGCCACCTCTTCTATCCCGTTTCCTCCCAGTGGCTGCAACATCTCCACTGGCTTAACTGTGGGCTTCTCATCGCGGAACAAAACAATCCATGAGAGAAATGGGAAGGCCGAGGACAGTAGTCAGAACACAGCCGATTCTCAAAAGCACTCTGTGGAACAAACTGTCATCTTGCTAATGCACTGAAATCGTAGGCCTACTCCTTCATCTCTACCCAGTTATTTTACTTCCCGCAATGTGATCTTCCCAGACCTCTTACCTTTCAGAAAGGACCGATTATAAATGGAAAAGAAAGAACAGCTCACTACACCGAGCTGAGGACAACTTTACTTTCAGGCCTAAGTTGGAATGTGAATACCGCTATAGCATCCAAAACCAAAAAGAATAACTATGGGCTTCCCTGGTGGCGCAGGGGTTGAGAGTCCGCCTGCCGATGCAGGGGACACGGGTTCGTGCCCCGGTCCGGGAAGATCCCACATGCCGCGGAGCGGCTGGGCCCGTGAGCCATGGCCGCTGAGCCTGCGCGTCCGGAGCCTGTGCTCCGCAGCGGGAGGAGCCACAACAGTGAGAGGCCCGCGTACCGCAAAAAAAAAAAAGAGTAACTATTTATAGGAAAACACCTTCTTCCCCACTGCATGAAATACAACCAAGATTTTTAAATATCCAGGTGGTTTACAACTGGCCTAATCTGATTCCATACAGCTGTGTCCAGAAACACACAGCGATGAAAGATGCTGAAATTTACAACAAAGCTATGTCTCATAAGTAGGCAGCGTGATCTCTGTTTCTGACAAATGAGAACACACTTTTAGAAGGAAAGGGACGTATTTTCCATGGAAATGTTGCCCATAAAATGAAAACGTTATTTGTGGCATCTGTGGAAATACTCTGAATAGCTCTCTTTTGGCCCATTAACCCAAGAACAAACATGAAAGTTTGAAATGTTTTTTTCTGAAAAAAAAATATTGATCCACAAAGCAGTTTACTTGGAATAATTACTAAGAGCAAGTTTCAAAGTTATGGTTTACTTTTTACTACTTTTTGGCTTAGGTCTAGAGGTCACTTGAAAAACAAGGAAAAAAGAACTAGCTTTAAATTATCCCTGTTGCCATAAAATTCAAATGCTTGTTCTTAAACTAATTCTTTTTGGTTGTCTTCAAACTCTTGGCTGTATTTAAAGTGCTGTTAGAAGCACATGAAGCCTGTCCTTACCAGACTCCAGGGATTGGAAAGAGTGCTTGACCGGGATCCCTGAGGCCTTTCCTACATGGGGCACTGCTTCCTCTCCACGCCAGCATTTCTCAAAACTCCACGTGCAGCAGCTTGCTTGAATCAGTGCATATTCTTCACCAGCACCCCAAGGGGCTTCATGTTAACAAGAGTCCCAGATGACTCTGACGCAGATGGAGATCAAACCAACTCGAGAAAGCAGCCTGCGTGGGCCTCCCCCCACACCCCTGCCCTGTGCCAGCCCTGGACTGACCGGCAACGGCTCCAGGGGTCCGCGGGCTCCGTGGGAGCTTCCACAGGCAGAGGTGCCTCAGGCCGGGCAACACAGGGACGGCATTTGAAGAACAGGTGCAAAGCACCCGGGGTGGGGAGGAAAAAGGGCCATCCTGCAGAAGGTGGCCCTCGGAGACCTGCGGACTTCAGCCTCCCTGGTCTCTTGGCCCAAAGGAGGAAAGCAGACGCCTTCCTACTCCTGAGCCAGGGAGCGTGGCTGCCTGGGCATCTCAGGACAGACACGGCCGAGGGTCCCAGAAGCCAGAGAAACTCAAACAGCGCAGATGCTCAGTGAATATAATGCGGATACACTTAAAAATAGCTCAAATGGTAAAATTTGTGTTGTATGTATTTTACCACAATAAAAGCAAATTCGCTGAATGGACACCTTGAACCAGAACTAAATAAATAAAGTAACAGCAACTGAGAGTCACTTGCCTACACAGGACTTTCTTTCTGAAACTGAGACACGGTTTCCAGGACACTTCTGAGAGTGAAAGGGCATGATTAATATGGACGCCAAGATGACAGGCCTCACCTCTGAGCAAAGCAGGACACGTGGTCACCCCCCTAGAGCAGAAGGAGACACAGAAGGAGGTAGTGGTGTCCATGCTGAGCCTTAAGCAGAGCAGCTGTGCATCCCAAAGGGGTAGAGGCACCCTCCTCGCCCACGAGGAAAACTCAGAAAAGCAAGGGAAGTCTCCATCCGTATGAACCATCTCTGGCGGCATTTTATAGTTTTTCCCTCATAACTAGGTAAACTGCTACTCTACTAAACAAAAACTAATGACATGTAAACTCGTTCTTTCTGTTTAGTCTGAAATTAAAGATTAGAAGAGGGGAAATACGCGATTTCTGACAGAACACACACCCTATCCTATGGCCCGGCCCGTCTGTAAGGATGAGAAAATGAGCATCAGATATGTAAGAAGCCTCCTCAGCTTCTTAGAAATGGAAGAAAATATTAAAATATCTATCATTCTCAGACTCAACATATTTTGGAGTGCATTCCTTCTATGAGAGATTAATACTGTGAGAACAGGAAAAATGCTCTCAGACAAAAAAAAACATAATTACCAAATGAATAACGCAGTGGAGAAAGTGAATGGCTATTTGCAACCATTTCAATGCTATTTGAAAATGGTTTCAGTGACATAAACGCCATGTAGAGAAATCTTCACCTGCCTGAAAAGAAAAGGTGAAGAGGGGAAGACGGGGCAGAGGAGAATGGAGATCACTGAGAATGTGACTTAATTGCATGTGATGCTCAATCCATTCAACATGCAAAGTGCAATTTAAAACAATCATAAAGTGACTGAGAACATTCAGTCTCAAGAGTAACCTAAGAGCCGCCTAACAAAGCCATGCGTCAGCAGGTCTGGGCCTCAAAAGCGAGAGTGCAGATTTGGAGAAATAAGCTTCCTCTCGCCCACGAATGTGGGGATTTGGGCCTGTTCTGTTCATACGTGTGTGACTACCAAGAACGGTATGCGACATGTAGTAGGTGCCTAATAAATACTTGTTGAATAAAAGAATCAAGTGTTCTATGGGGCTGTAAATCGGTGCACATTTATAAGGATAATCTGGTGATATGCATCCTGAAAATACTGATGTTACCCCCGAAAAACTTGCGATGGAAATGTATGAAGGTGGAAAAAAATGGACAGTTACAATTTTGTAACTGAAAAGCTCAAAATAGTCACAGCTCTTACATACCTGAGGAGTGCAACAGAAATCTGAACATCTGGCCAGTAAGAAGCATTAGTGGACATTCTCACACATTTAACCATTCCATAAATGAGGGGTGAGAGCAGGTAAATAAAGCACTGGGCCAGAGAGGAGGACCCCTCTTGGGAAGGAATACTCGGGACAGATGCACGGTTCTTCACATAAGGCTTGGGGGTGGGGGGATCCCGTTACCACGGAGATAGAAGCCAACCAAACAGTTCATTCTCGACTTTTCCTTTTGTGCCTCTATTTGTTTAACTCCACATCACATACCGTTGTAAAAGTGGCACAAAGATCAGAAAGCACTCAGAGCCTAGACAATGCAGCTCAGTACTTTCATCAAGATACACATTTGACAGAAGCAAACCTACCCCAGACCTCGTGGCTGCCCGCACCATACTTGGCCCAATGAAGATGCCTGCTCAGCGTGGACCAGGCGCCCCGAGTCCGGGTCTTGGCCCCGATGGGACTGAGCAGGGCCTGCTGGAAGGAAGATGGTCCAGGCTCGGCACTCGGTGTAAAGAGGCCCAGATCCCGGCCGCGGCAGATGCTCAGCGAAGATGCTCTGAACTTGGTCCAGAGGGACCAGCCCACCCAGGGCGAGGCTCTCAGGAGGCCGGGACCTCTCTCGGGTCCCCAGCCCCCCGTGGGTGAAACAACACCCCTGGAGGCTTTGAGAATTTCCTACGTAAACTCATCTGGCGGCAACACTCAGACTGGCCTGAACGTATTGGCAGAACAGGACTTAATCTGGCTTGGGGCTGTGCCGGGGCCCTCTCCTGTTTAGAGAGAAAATCCAGACATTTCTCTGCAGAGGGGGGCGTGCAGCTAAGGGCCGGTGTCCCAGAAGCAGCCTTGGAGGGTTTGTGAAATAGACAATGTATATATTCTTCTAAAGTCCTAACCACTCTGGACCACATGCAGCCCTCCCAGTCCCGGCTCAGGGCCCGTGGGCGGTTGTGAGCCCCACTCTCTGCATCTCAGCAGCCGTGTCCCCTTCCACCAAGGGGAGCCTGGGGGGCACAGAGGTTGAACCAGGCTTGCCGCATCTGTCCTCAGCATCTGTCATAAGACAGGCCCCGAAAGAAGCAGGAGCTTCTCAGTGCTCACCCTCGGGAACACCGACCTCCAAAACGATGACAACGCATGTGTGTTTGAAATTCTTAAAGAATCAGAGCTACTGCTATTCCTAATCTGTCCTGACATAATTTGGAAATAGAAGGGAAGAAGCCAAAAAAGGTTCTTACCTGAAAAAGTAGGTTTTGGCCATGTCATAATGGCCAGGTGTCAGTTTGAGGGGAGGGCAGCCGACGGCCAAAGGCCTCACCATGAGCAAGCCCATCGCCAAGGCCACGAAGAGCACGGGCAGCAGCAGGTCAGAGGTGGTGCCCTTCCAGGCCCGACCCAAGTGGTGGAGCCGCTTCAGCAGGAGGGCGGCCGTCTGTGCCCAGAGCAGGGCACCGCCCCGCACCAGGGGGGCCCAGCAGGCGTGCCGTCTGAGGGGACGGGAAGATACGGCAGGTCAGTGCCCGGGGCCCACTTGGCATCCCTGACATGCCGCCCGTCGTGCAGGTCCCTTCACTGATCCCTGAGCCCAGGAGCACCAACGGCTCCCACTCTACCCTAAGGACACACCGGAAAGTTACACACACGGGGCGTCTCGCGATATGAAACACAAGGACAGAAGTCACGGTGGCCCCCACTCCGCTCCTACTTCTGAAGGGGGGCAGGCAGACGCAAAAGGATGGGGAGACGGGGCTTGTGTTTATTCTCACGGGTTAAAACAAAGCCTGCAACGTGAGCCTGCATTCTCGCACAAGAAGTACGAAACCAGGCTTCCCTGGTGGCGCAGTGGTCGAGAGTCCGCTTGCCGATGCATGGGACGTGGGTTCGAGCCCCGGTCCGGGAAGATCCCACATGCCGCGGAGCGGCTGGGCCCGTGAGCCATGGCCGCTGAGCCTGCGCGTCCAGAGCCTGTGCTCCACAACGGGAGAGGCCACGACAGTGAGAGGCCCGCGTACCGCAACAAAAAAAAAAAAGTACAAAACCAAGACGTTCCAAGGTCCCCGAGGGAGGGGTGGGAGGTGGCAGAGAGGGCACCCCCTCTCCTGGCTCTCCCCCTCTGTTCTCACCCCATGTCTCCCCCCTCTCAGGTTACATCCTGGTCAGGATTCGAGCGGCACCACGCCTGCCTCTCCCCAGGTCCCTGCGGACTCCCGCACCCTGCACCCTCCGCCACATCCGGGGCATCCCCGGTGAGGAGGAGCTGGGGCAGCCTCACGGGGCAGGGGGTCCCGGCCTCGCCTCAGCTGCACCGGCCTCCCTTCCTTACGCGGCAAATCTGATAACAGCCCTCCTCAAACAGAGAGGCAAAAGGTAAACCCGGAAAGCACAGCACGAACTGGGCGACCTGGCCCGGTCCTCCTGCCAGGCTCCCTCGTAGGGCGGTCATTGGGGTCCACAGACTCTGTGCAGTGAACCTGCCCCCATTCCAGCCAAACAGCCCGTGAGAGCAGATTCTGTATACAGCTGAGGAGGCAAAGTTGGGAGCAAACAGAGAGGCCCATGGACTGCAGCCTCCAGCCAGTCACATCTAAAGGACGACGCGCTGAACCTCGGCCAGGCCCACGGACCACCCCCCCCCCCCCGCCCACTGATTCCTCCTAAAGTATCGCACAAGAAAAGCGGCCTCTGAAAGAACAGATGTGGGAGCTCCCTGGCGGTCCAGTGGTTAGGACTCCGCACTTTCACCACCGCGGCCCAGGTTCAATCCCTGGTTGGGGAACTGAGATCCCACCAGCCATGCAGTGCGGCCAAAAAAAAAAAAAAAAAAGGAAGAAACAAAGAACAGATACGCTAAATTGACTGTCATAATAAACATCAAACTGAAATAAGTTAATAAAAGAGCAGTGAATAAGTTTAAAGTCCCGGAAGAAAACATTTTTAAAGAAACTACCATCTTGAAAGATAAAAGATTGATAATAGCACTGAGAGCAGAGCTGCAGAGGCACAGCTGGAGAAGAAAATGCGTATCTGAAAGAACCCCCTCATCTGTAGATCCTCCCTGAGAGCCAGCATGTGCAGGCTCTGGCTCTTTGGTTTCTGTCCTCAAAAAAGGTGTAACACAGGGATTGAGATAAAAATGTAAACAACCCAACACACTGCAAACTAGTGTAATATGGTGGCAGTGCTTCAAGGATTGGAATCAAAGACGCAGTCTTGGGAGGTTTAGGGGAAAGTGGGGACATTTAGGCAGGATCCTTAAGACCCACCAGGAGATGTTTGAAGGCAGTCAAGGAAATCTGGATGTTTAAAGACCAGCACATGAGCTATTAACCAGCGTGGCATATTCGGCGGATAACCGTGTGGAGCGCTGAGTACACGTGGCAGGTGGAAGGAGGTGAAGCCCTTTACCAGATGCTTTGAAGATTAGGGTTGACAGGCTTTACTGCACTGAAGGTCACATGATGAGATGCACATTATGATACAAAGTAACATTTTATTATGAAACAAGCAGCACTCTCTCATGAGGCTGGGCTTGTGGTGAAAATAGTGGTTAATACTTCTGGCTACATTTCAGATTCACCTGGGGACCTTGATTTAAATGCTGATTTCCAGGTCCCACCTCAGACAGAATCAGATCTTCACAGCCTCAGAGATTAAAATCTGCTTTAAAAAGAAAAAGAAGAAAACAAAACTTCCCAGGGGATTCTGATGCTCAGCTGGGTTAAAGAATTGCTGATTTGGGCTTCCCTGGTGATGCAGTGGTTGAGAGTCCACCTGCCGATGCAGGGGACACGGGTTCGTGCCCCGGTCTGGGAAGATCCCACATGCCGTGGAGCGGCTGGGCCCGTGAGCCATGGCCGCTGAGCCTGCGCATCCGGAGCCTGTGCTCCGCAACGGGAGAGGCCACAACAGAGAGAGGCCCGCGTACCGCAAAAAAAAAAAAAAAAAATTGTGATTTAATGCACAACTAATGGTGATTCATCTATAACTCTCATAAAGCATTATTAAATCAGCAGATAGAGAGACTCTAGTGCTAGAAAAGGTATATTAAGCTAAATTTGATCCTTCATCATATAAACGTAGACACGAATACAAAATACCCCCTTACTGATCATTTTAGGAGATTCTAATGTCGGATGATACTGATGCATGGCATTACGTATGCAGACCTATTAGGGTAATTACATGAATTATCTAACTCAAGCAGAAATAACTGAGATGTTGGTTGCCAAACCCCTAGATTCCAAAATGACTGCTGAGATGATTGCTTGCTGTCCTCACGGCCTCTGGCTCAGGAGCTGTTTCACCGCCAAGACAGACGCCTCACTGTTTCCATTCAAGAGGACCTGAAAGTCACCGGTGGGCCCGGGGGCTTGTGCCTCCACCACACCTCTGGTCACTGCCCACCGGAAGCCACACCCCTCGGGTCAGCATCCTTCGACTACACACCTGGCCACCGCAGCTGCTGCCACACTGTGCGCCTTCTCACATACGTGCACCACAGGCCGTGACTGCAAACCCCTGTTCAAGTCACAGAGGGTTTTGTCTGCACAGCAGGCGCTACAAAATGGAAAAAGCACATGACCATCTGGGTGGTGGATTTGCCTGGTGATGGAGGAGCTGGGCCCGGGTCAGACTACATCCCTGTGCCCTCTGGCCATGCTCCAGAGGGGACCACCAGAAGCGCCACTGTGGCGTGGGGACGGCTCCATCTTTCAATCCACGTAAACCAGGATTTGAATCCAGTCTCAGCCACCAACATGCTGTGTGACTTCTGGAAGCTTACCTAACCTCTCTGGATGCCATTTCCCCCAGTTGTAAAATAGAGACTTGTAGTATTTTCCCTGGAGGTAATGAGGATTATTATTACCACACTTATGAAACTACCAGTCCTAGTAAATGCTCATCAGACAGCCTCAGTAAGTCCGTGGGGAAAGGTGTTTCTTATATTAAGAAAAACAAATTTTCCCCACCTTCCCATAAATGTTAATTAGACACAAATTGGAAAAATAAAGAGCTAAGATAGCTGATGTCATTTATCCAACCACCAATCAAATATTCACAGCTAAACTCATGAAAGTATTCGTATGAATAATTTAACAGACAAAACTGGAATACTGGACCAAATTGTTATGAATTATCTCATTTGACTTATGAGTGCAATTATATTCAAGGACTCCAGTTACATCCATAATTATTCACTCCCATTTACACTGACCATAAAATTGCTTAGGGAAGATGTCCAAAGACTCTTTTTGGTCAGGTAGCTTCAATCGTTAAAAGATTACTTAAAGACTCAGCATCCAGCCCAGAATGCGATCTCCACGTTGCCAAGTTCATCCAAATATTCATGAAGATTTTAAAACAAAGCATTATAAATGTAATGCCTTCAAGTCAATTTTTGAAAAATGAATACTCCAAAAGAAAACTGGGCAAACAGCATGCCTGAATATGCAGTTCCTTTTTAAAAAAATACAAAATAACTAATATATGTTTACTGCAAAATCAGATATTTTATGTAAGAAAATTTATCTGGAAAATAAATTTTCAGATTATCAATATGGTAAGGATTAAAAACAATGTCCATCCCTATTATTACTGAGTGTTTTAGGAAATGGGCCTTCTTAACAGTGCTGCTGGGAGAACAGACCTGTTCAGTCTTTCTGGGGGAAGCAAATATGAACCACCTTTGATCAGCTTAATTCCAATCCAAGAGTTGGATTTGTCAAAAAGCAATAGAAATTCATCAAATATAGCAAACAAGGTGGTTTGTTACATCTTATAGAGAATAGTAGCAAGAAGTTGTCTGACACAGGGGATTAATTGAACAATTTAAAATACAACCACTCAATGGAGAAAAATGTGTTACAAAATAACACATATAGAATGAATATAATTTACTAACAATACTAATATTAAACTAGAAAAATTATTACTGTTTTGGTGTATATACTTTAGTGAAAAGTTGTTGTCTTTTATGAAATAATTTCTATTCTCTATACACTATTTGAATTTGACCAAGTGATTTTTTAGATTCAAAAAGTTAAAGTGGTACTTCCCTGGTGGCGCAGTGGATAAGACTCCGTGCTCCCAATGCAGGGGGCCCGGCTTCCATCCCTGGTCAGGGAACTAGATCCCACAAGCATGCTGCAACTAAGAGTTTGCATGCCACAACTAAGGAGTCCACGAGCCACAACTAAGGAGCCCACCTGCCACAACTAAGACCCAGTGCAACTAAATAAATAAATAAATATCTTTTTTAAAAAGTTAAAGTACTATATACATTTTCAACTTACTTATTAAAGATTTCTATTTATTTGTGTGGTGAGATCATGCTATTTTTTCTTCTCAGTTTTCTGGTTTTTTGAACAATGAATATTTATGCATCTTGTAATCAATAATTATTCTGTAAAGACTGTATACTTATTTGGGAGATGCACGACTTTATGAAATAGAAATAGTATCTTTCTTTGCTCACTGAGTTAAGAGAATTTTAGAGTTGAAGTGGATCTTTAAAATAATGTAATTCAAACCTTTCACTTATTTATAAATACACGCAGTTCAGGAGAAATTGTGAAGTGAGTTAATTTGGGAGAACAAAGCACAGCATTTATTACGTGTAAGTGCTATGCTAGTTCCTTAGGTTTTCTCTTTGAATAAAGTTCTCAAAGCTTTTAATCTTCTAATAGAGTCAAACGTAATGAAACATGACAATTGACCAACACAGTGTACTGTATTTAACAGTAGGTCAGACTTCTCCAAGGGGCTGCCACTGCCAGGAATTCAAGGAGTAAAAGGTGTTCTCTGACAGGTAGGGAGGGTGCCTGGCGTGGGGAGGATCTCCTTGGAGTAGACATGGGTTCTGAGTCAGAAACATGGTACATCAGGTACTAGGGATATGGCCGACCCTCCATATCTGCCTCAGAAAATATTCAAGAAAAAAAAATACTCCAGAAAGTTCCAAAAAGCAACACTTGTATTTGTCACACACTGGTAACTATTTACTGAGCATATATATTGTATCAGGTATTATAACTAATCTAGAGATGATTTAAAACATACAGGAGGATGTGTGTAGGTTATATGTAAATACTACACCATTTTATATAAGGGACTTGAGCATCTAGGGATTTTGGTATTCACAGGGGTCCTGGAACCAATCCCACCTCGGATGCTGAGGGATGACTATATTTTCTACTGCGCCCCAGTCATGACCTGGGACTCCAAAATCATTAGCAGGGCGGAAAAGGCTTAAATCATTTCATCTGTTCTCACCAATCCAGAAAACAGAATCAGCAAGCTGTATGGAAAACTAACAGTGCCAGATGGCTCCTGGGGGGTAGGCTTTTAATCAAACAGGTAAACACCTGCAGATGGGCATTAATGTTGAGAATGTGTCCCAGTACCAGGACTCGGGAATCCCAACCTCGTGTGGACACACTGACATCTGCACAGGCAGTGTGCCGCCAGTGACCCCATTCAGAGCACAAAAGACGTAGGTGGGGTGGTCCCCAATCTTTGTCCTGGTAAAGACTATAATTGTGTGACATTTATGCAAATTATGACTGAATTATGAATAATAATTCATACCATTTAAAGAAGAAAAACTAACAAAATCAAATATCCTCCTATTAAGAAAGGAAGGAAGGGGGGGACAGGAGAGGGAAGGAGAGATAAAGAGAAAAAAGAGAAAATCGAAAAAAATGGGAAAAAAGTAAAAGGAAAGGAGAAATTTTGTGACACATTGGTTTGCTTATTAATATGACATAAAACCCAAAATACAGGGCTTCCCTGGTGGTGCAGTGGTTGAGAGTCCACCTGCCGATGCAGGGGACACAGGTTCGTGCCCTGGTCCAGGAAGATCCCACATGCCACAGAGCAGTTAGGCCTGTGAGCCATGGCCACTGAGCCTGCACGTCCAGAGCCTGTGCTCTGCAATGGGAGAGGCCACAACAGTGAGAGGCCCGCATACAGCAAGAAAAACACAAAAAAACAAAAACCAACAAAATACAATTATTTCTTAAATATTAAACCTGGTAATATAAAAATACACAAAATTTAAAACCATGCTAGATTACTGTAACCTTGCTTTGGAAAAGCAAAAGGAGTACTATGTTTAATTCTTTAAAAAGCTAACAAGTAGACTATATTTATCTAAATTGTTTTAATAATAATCTCACAGCTCTATATTACCCAACTTTTATGATGCTTTACCTGTTTTCTTGTAACAACCATACTATTTTATTGTACATGATTTTTCTTAAAAAAGAAAAAAATAGGTGATAGTGTAATTTTCTACATGAAAAGCCACTGAAGGTTCCAATTGCTATACATGTATATATCCTTGATCTGATTCTTTGAAAAGCACTATGATTGTTGAAAAGACACTCAACATCACTAATTATTAGAGAAATGCATATCAAAACTACAACAAGATATCATCTCACACCAGTCAGATTAGCCATCATCAAAAAATCTACAAATAACAAATGCTGGAGAGGGTGTGGAGAAAAGGGAACCCTCTTGCACTATTGGAGGGAATGTAAATTGGTGCAGCCACTATGGAGAACAGTATAGAGGTTCCTTAAAAAACTAAAAATAGAACAACCATTTGACCCAGCAATCCCACTACTGGGCATATATCCAGACAAAACCATTTAAAAAGATACATGTACCCCGATGTTCACTGCAGCATTATCTACAATAGCCAGGACATGGAAGCAACCTAAATGTCCATCAACAAAGGAGTGGATAAAGAGGATGTGGCACATATACACAATGGAATACTACTCAGCCATAAAAAAGAATGAAATAATCCCATTTTCAGCAACATGGATGGACCTAGAGGTGATCATACTAAGTGAATTAAGTCAGACAGAGAAAGACAAATATCATATGATATCACTTATATGTGGAATCTAAAATATGACACAAATGAACTTACCTATGAAACAGAGACAGACTCAGAGACATAGAGAACAGACTTGTAGTTACCAAGGGGGAGGGGGTTTGGGGGAGGGAAGGGCTGGGAGTTTGGGGTCAGCAGATGCAAACTAGTATATATAGGATGGATAAATAACAAGGTCCTACAGTAGAGCACAGGGAACTATATTCAATATCCTGTGATAAACCACAATGGAAAAGAATATGAAAAAGAATGTATGTATATGTACAACTGAATCACTTTGCTGTACAAAACTTACACTTTGCTTACAAAACACTGTAAATCACCTATACTTCAATAAAATTTTTTTAAAAAGCATTATGATCGTGATACCCAAAATGTTAAAAGAATCAAATTAGGATTTCACTTTGGAATAGGGTCATCCCTTACACCTAGCCACGTTTTTTGAATAATTTAAAGGTTGCTGAAACCCCTTTGTTTAAACCTGCCTTGAAAAGATAGTGACTTGACCTTCAGAGAACCAGGGTACAGGCTGGCTCTGCCACCAACTACATACATCCCCTGGGCTGGTTGCAAGCTCAGAATGTGGGTTTTGTCTTAAATGCACCAAAGACAGGTCCTTCTGAAGCTTCTCAACAGCCTCACACTTGGGTTTTCAAACCTGAGCTCCCTCCAAAGTTCTAACAGATGGTTAGGAAAAGGACCTGGGGACACCTCCTGCTGCATCCCCATCGCGACCTCAACCTTGGCCCTCACCTCTGGTTCTGCTCTGCGTGGGTCAGATGGATGAGGGACGGATGGACGCTGACCAAAGGCTGTCCCCAGCACCCCCGTCTGTTTCTCACCTCACTGAGCTGAGGCTCCCCCCAACCCCACCCCAAGGCCATTCTTCCTACTTGCGAAACACCCCCTGTGCATTTCCCCAGGCCCCCCACCCCCGACGTCCTCTCTCAGCTGTAACAGTCATGCCTGATGGACCTCACACAAAGCCTTCTTCAAGCCACCAGCTGTGGGTCCATCTCAATCTGATTTCAATCAGTGTAAACAAGAACGCTGAAGTGGGTGATGAGGCAAAGAGGTGAGTTTGTAGTTTTAAGAGAGGCAAAGAGAGCTGCTTAGACACCCCACGGTATCTCATGCCATCAGGGAGGAGGGAACGGAGGTACCGGTTCAGGATGCCCGGCTCAATCCCCCTCCGCTCTGGCCAGGAGGTGAGTGTGGAGGAGGGTGCCCTCGACGGCACGTCTGTCTTCAGCTTCCTGAAGACCGACAGGCCCACAAAGGTTTCCCCAAGATGTCCTGTCGTTAAGTCTGAGGCAGCGGCTACCCTAAGAGAAGTAAAGCACATTCTTTGTCAAATATTTCACGAGAAGATGTGATTCCAGTTCAGGAAGTGAGGATTGTAACTATTCATCACCAGCCTTAGGCACTTTCTCTGGCAGGTCTGATCTGCACGCTGGCGCGAACTCCGTCTCCACACACTTACCCCACTTCCTGAGTCCCCAGCGGAAGCTGCTGCTTTCTGGCACCAGCATTAACCCGCCCAAGTCTATTTCAATCCCATTTTCATTCTGGCAGACGGTTTTCTGCAAAGCACCCGCGGTCAGCTCTCTGCTGATTTTAGCGAACGCGGCACACAAACCTTCTTTGGCGTGTATAACTGGCAGCAGACACATCTCCTCTCCACCTCTCCTGCATGTGTTTGAAGTTTGAGGAAATGGGGACAAAGAAGCAAAGACAGCTCTGCGTCTAACGCCACAGCCAAGCCTAGGAGACACACAGAATCTGCAACAGCTCTGTGAAGAGGCAGAGAATGATGGCCTCCCGGGTAGGATGGGCTGTGCAAACAGGATGGTCTGAGAAAGCAAACGAGAGGCTGCAGATCCTCCAGATTAATCGTTGCCGAAATCACTTCCCGTCATCACAGGAAGGAGCAATTAAGCATGAAGCACAGGCTCAGCTCGGTGCTCTGTGATGACTTAGAGGGGTGAGACTGTGCGGGGAACGGGAGGGAGGTCCAAGAAGGAACGGGCATATGTATACACGTGGCTGATTCACTTTGCTGTACAGCAGAAACTAACACAACACTGTAAAGCAACTATACTTCAATTTTAAAAAAGAATAATAATAAAAAACAAACTAAAAGTTCTCAAACTGCATGATGGCTGCACAACTCAGTACATTTACTAAATATTAATGAATTATCTATTTAAAGTCAGTTAATTTTACAGTATGTAAATTATACTTGAATAAAGTTGCTTAAAAAAAAGAATTAGGGCTTCCCTGGTGGCGCAGTGGTTGAGAGTCCGCCTGCCAATGCAGGGGACGCGGGTTCGTGCCCTGGTCTGGGAAGATCCCACATGCCGCAGAGCGGCTGGGCCCGTGAGCCATGGCCACTGAGCCTGCGCGTCTGGAGCCTGTGCTCCGCAACGGGAGAGGCCACAACACTGAGAGGCCCACGTACCGCAAAAAAAAAAAAAAAAAAAAAAAAGAATGAAATACAGAGGATTAAACTGAGGGAGAAAAAAGAAGTTCAGGTAAAGTGATGCTGACAACCATAGAGTTATAAGAATTTCAATGCAATCTCAGATCTCGCAAGGCAGGGGAGGGGTGGAAATACGGCTTCTTAGAAAAAAGGCACAGCAGAGTCTTACAGGCAGAAAACAACAGTTTCCCAGATTCGCTCTCTATTAGATGGATTTGCGAAGTTTCACACCAAATTTGAACTTAAAGAGATTCTTATAGGGTGTTTTTCATAGCAGTGACCACAGACCACCTAAATCAAAGGAAAACTGGGGTGCTTGCTTAAAAATGTAAATGTCTAAGTCTTTGGAATCAACATTTGTGGAAATTGGGCCTAAGAAACTGCCAATTTAATAAACATCAGGTTATCTTGTTTTTTATATGTGTGTGTGTGTGTGTATATATATATATATATATATATACAAAAATATATAAAGTCCTAACACACGTGCGGTGTTGCCCATCATGGTTTTGAATTCTGTTTCCCTGATGTTAGTGATGTTGGGCATCTTTTCATGTAACTGTTGGCCATCTGTACGTCTTCTTTGGAAATATGTCTGTTCAGGTCCTTTGCCCATTTTTAAATCGGGTTATTTGTTTCTTTGTTATTGAGTTGTAGGAGTGCCTTATACATTTTGGATATTAACCCCCTATCAGATATATGGTTTGCAAATATTTTCTTTCATTCTGTAGGTTGCCTTTTCATTCTGTTGTTTCTTTTGCTGTGCAGAAACTTTTGGCAAGAATATGGAAAGGTTAGAACCCTTGTACACTCATATATATATATATATATAATGGAATATTATTTAGCCATAAAAAGGAGGGAAATCCTATCACGTGTGACAACATGGGTGAAGTCGGAGGACATTACACTAAGTGAAATAAGCTGGACCCAGAAGGATAAATACTTTTGATTCCACTTATGTGAGGAATAAACTAGTCAAACTCATAGGAACAGAGCATAGAATTGTGGTTGCCAAGGTGTGGGAGGGGAGAGGGGATTTGTCGTTCAATGGGTATAAAGTTTCAGTTAAGCAAGATGATTAGATTCCAGAGCTGTGCAGGCAACACTGTTCCCAGAGCCAACTTAAAGTGTTTACTGAGAGGGCAGCTCTCATATCATGTGTTCTTAGCACACACGAAAAAAAAGAGGGAGATGCACGAGAACATTTTTGGATTTGTGAATGTTTACTACCTTGATTGTAGTGATGATGTCACAAACTCATCAAACTGTATACATTAAGTATATGGAGATTTTTTTATATCAATTATACAATAAAGCTTTAAAAAAAAAAAAAAAAAAAAGCACCCAGGGGATCTCCCTGGTGGTCCAGTGGTTGAGACTCCACACTTCCAATTCAGGGGGCAGGGGTTCGATCCCTGGTCGGGGAACTAGATCCCACACACACACACACAAAAGCATCCGGGTGATGTTTTTGTTTTTGTTTTTGTTTTTGTTTTTGTTTTGTGGTACGTGAGCCTCTCACTGTTGTGGCCTCTCCCGCTGCGGAACACAGGCTCCGGACGTGCAGGCTCAGCGGCCATGGCTCACGGGCCCAGCCGCTCCGCAGCATGTGGGATCTTCCCGGACCGGGGCACGAACCCATGTCCCCTGCATCGGCAGGCAGACTCCCAACCACTGCGCCACCAGGGAAGCCCCGGGTGATTTTTTTAAAGATTCCTTTAAAAAGTTCTCTTCTCTTAAAACTATATCCTGAACACAGCAGCTGGGGCTGTGACACATCAGTGAGCTGTCTGTCCCAGGACCTGCTCCTCCAAAGACCAGACATGCCTGCAAAGAAACCACACCCACACTGAGGGGCTGGTGCCAGCCGACTCTGTCCCAGGGAGAGGGGAGCAGAGTGGGGAGCACATTGCTCCCTTGCGTGACCTTCTGCACATCTTTGCCCACCGTGGGCCGGGGCTTCTGGGCAGGACTAGGTCCACAGTGGAAAGAGAAAGGCGCCTCCAGGTGAGGAAATATGACCAGGCAGACTCCCGCTACTGAAACTGTCTGGACAGCCAGTGATTCTGGATTAAAGACACCAAAGTTCTCGAATATAGAAATGCTATTTCCCCTAAAGAACCACGGTCACCTGTCTGGTGTATTAAACGCCAGTCAGAGCTGGGAAATCAATGAAAATGCACAGGGTCCCCATCATGCCCAGAGAGGCAAAGCACAGATCAGAAAAGCCTGCTTGGGCAGCTTTCATCAGAAGGTACCTCTTCTAAGCTGGTGTCTGAGATCCCACAGCCCGTCAGGTACAGGTGGTGAAGCTTCTGGTCCAGGGCCTGGAAAAGCCCTGTGAAGCAGGCTTTGTCTGCATCCTCAGGGATCGTGTAGCTCAGCTCGCCCCAGCTGCTGCCTCGGAGGGATGCCTGTGGGATGTAGGTCTGCATCGGAGACATGGCACAAGCTGTGTCCTTCGGGTCCCGGCCTCCAGAACAGAAGGCTATCCAAAAAAAAGTCACGGAACAGCAAGGATTGTAAACCCAAACATACCAAATTTACATCAACTGATTTCACACCTATCCCTAAGCAAAGTATTTTGAAATTCCAATTCTTGCTCCACACCCACCAGTGTCCATAATCCGTTTCTCCCTTTCGCAGGCACATCGTTTCCTCCACAAGGACTGAGACCCCAAGGACCTTGTGTCCTGTTCTGTCACCTCCCCAAGACCTGCAGCAGGCAAGGCCCAGGCTGGATTCAGAATAAACACCTGCTGAGCGACCTGACCCCAACGTGGAAATGTTGTGACCGGGGAGCAGTCTGGATCTGTCTCCTCTGCCCCCCGAGGAGGTACGTGTCTCCCTGCAACTACCCCTGGGGTCTCACCTCCTTGCCCTGCCCGTGGGCCTGGGTCAGGCTGGAGAGGGTGCTGCGGCACTGGAGCCACCCCTGCTGCAGCACTGCCACGCGGTCACTCGGCCCCTCGGCCCCTCGGCCTAGTCCACGTGGTGGGTGGTGAAGATGACAGTCCGGCATCAGACCCACACAACATGCCAGGGGTCCATCTCGAACCTCCAGTGGGGGAAGCCAATGCGGGTGTGGGTGGTGTCGAGAGCATCACAGGGTTTTAGGTTAGCCGAGGTCACCCCCCAAATCAGAAGCCCGGAAACGCCTCTGGGTTAGGACACGGCTTCTGCAAACCCTCCATCATGAAGGGTGACACTGAGAGACAAGCCAGGGAGCCCCCGGGTCCAGCCGCCCCGTCCGGAAGAGCTCACAGCAGCTGTGGCCACAGAGAGTGCATTTCAGGCAGGGGGCAGGTGTGGGGGCCCTCCCCAGGAAGAAAGGCCCCACCGAGCACGGGGCACGTGGCCCCGTTTTGCAGAAACGAACGTTCGGCTCATACGTGTCCTCTATGAATTCTCTCGCTTGTCGAGTTTCACTACGTTTGCTGGGGGAGGAAAGGGGCCAGACTGACCTCAGAAGGCCAGAGGCCCTACAAGGTGTTTTCATAAAGTTCACTTCAGCTACCTGAAGGGAAGCTCTCAGGCCTACATCGAGCCCATTCTACCTATTCTAGTTTACTGAATAGAAATAAACCCATCGATTGATTCTCATCTCAAAAGCAAATTTTCCAAGAGAGAAGCCCAAACACATTTTTAACTCTACCAGATTTTATATTTTTAAATAGCAGAGAAAGATGGAAAGACCAGGATCTCAATTCATTTTTCTTAACTGCATCTAAAAAGAAACCATGATATATAGCCCCTAGAGCACAGTGGCCAATATCGCCACAGATGTGTCCCAAAGACCAAGGCCAACCCCCTGGCATGAGAGGTCCTTCGAGGCTAAGAAAATGTGCTCAGTCCCTGATCTGGGGTTAGAGACGGTTTAGAGAACAGATGATGTGTTTCCAGACAATCAAGTCATCTGAAAATGAAAGTTAGCTGGAATGTAAATTCCCAAAAAATGTAGATTAAGTTCACAGATGTTTGATGCTTCTCAGCGGACATTTAGGAAATTCAAGACACCCCCAAACCTCAAAGGACAAGTGTGGCTCAGTAAGACACCACTTTAGCGTTCCCCCAGTTCAGGTGGTGCGTTTGGTCCCCTCTTCTCGGAAAGTGGTCCTTCCCCAACCACTTCTCTTGCCTGTTTTAACAGCAGTGATGAGCGGCCACTGGCTGAGCACCCACGTACCAGGCACTGAGCTGGGCACTTGCACACACTCACTTCACACACAGCCCCACAAGGCGCGTGACTGTCTCCATTTGCAAACTGGAGTCCAGAGGCGTGGGATCATTTCCCAGGTCGTCCAGGATGTGTAGAGCAGGAGGGGGAGGAGTGGACCCATTTGCTCTGGTACCTTTTCCGTCATTGTTGGTCCTCCAAGGGAGGCCAGGAAGCACTGGTCCTAGGGCTGACCAGGACCTCAGCACCAAGCATCACTCAGCAGGAAACGCAGATCACATCCCAGGGAGCCGGAGAGCCAAACGCCCCGTGTTCTGCCAGCAGAGCCTCCTTCTGTTCAGCAGGGATCACTTGCGTTTGTGCCGCCCTTAGTTCTGGTTTACAAAGCTGTGGCACAGCTGCCTGGAGGTTTGGGGCTGTTTCCAGACACCGCTACATGCTGATGCTTGAAAACCTATTTCCCTGCTGGTACCACCCATCTTATCCGACTGATTTCACACGTCCGTCCGCACACAGATGCTTCCAAAGGAGCCTCCAAAGACAACCACTGCCAAATGACCTAGAACAGCGAGAATATATTTAATTTAGAACAACAGAATTTGAAGAAAGCTGCCTGTTTCCGAGACTTTTATCGTATCTGGTGTTCTGTGCAAAGTTACAATTATGCTCATGACTCAAATGTTCTGTCAGCGGAGCCCTGAAGGCCCAGCTGATTCTTAAAATAAACAAGAACCAAGAGCCTGTGGTGTTTGCTGTGCGCTGCAACTCAGGTGAGCAGAGTGACCGTACCTGCTGACCTGCCCGCCTCTCCCTGTCCTCTTCGTCAGCCCCACTCCCAGGGCAGGGAAAGGATTTACGTTCATTTTATCTCAAAACGTCACCCGTCCCTTTACGCGGTGTCCAAAGTCTCTTGCACAGAGGGTCACGATTTCTCATCCTACTTTTCTCCCCAAAGGGCCTCAGGTAAGAGGAGAGAGGGGCGAGCTGTGATCTCGGGGCAGTGGGCAGGGGGAGGGGCTCGGGCCCGGTGTGGTCAGCATCCTCTGGCCCCGGGTGATGACCAGGACCACCTGGTCCTGTCCCCGCCCCCGTGCAGCAGGGCCTCGGACAGGGTCAGCCCACGGCACGGGGCCCTCGGCTCCCCTGGGCCCCTCGGTCCTGCTGACCGCCAGCCCCCGAGTCTCCCCCGGCTTCCAGGGCCCACCTCACCCCCGTAGGCAGCATGCCTGGCAGGCTCTGCCGCCCTCTCAGTGCAGAAGCTGGGGACTGTGAAAGTGCGGGACAGGCGCCACGGGTGCGGCCCTGGGCCAGCGTCCCGCTAGGCCTCATGAGCTCTCATGTGGCTGCACCGGGTCAGGAGGATCCCTCACCCCTGACCACCTCACGGGCCCGGAGCAGTCTCCCAGCCCAGGGCGGTCTGTGGCCTTTTCTGTCTTCTCCCTCCACGACCCCCCTAGGTTTCTGCAACAGAAAAGGACAGGGTGGTCCTTTCAGGTGTCCTCCCCGACCCCAGCCTTTAAGCTTCAAGGGATGAACAGGAGCATCTTTTCTGCCTTAAGGAGAGATTATGACGACTTTTCTCTGCTCCCTTCTCCCTGCATTTCTTAAGAAGCAAATCCTAATCTCCCCCAGGGAGGTGAAGGTTTCAGGTTAAGTCAAAAAGGCTTTGTACTCAAAAGTCCAAAAAGGAAAGAAAACATTTTACAAGCTTCCACGGTAACCCTGCCGCCGTTGCTCCCATGCGTGCCTAGCAGCAGCATTGGGTATGTTTCTCTCTTCCCGATGCTTTTTCCAAACTCCGGTGTTTCTGTGTGAAACGCAGTGCTTCCTGGCTGCAGTGCTTCAGAATCACAGCAGGAAATCAGAAGCTGGAAGTCAATAACTACCCATCTAATGCCCGAAGTTGGAAGTACTGTACACAATAATACAGGTGAGAAACACGAAACTTCCAAAGCCCAGCCCAGGCTCCACCCTTGGCTCGGGGAACCTCCTCTGTGGCTGTAAGCAAACCCCAGCCCTTATCTCTCTGACTCGGTTTCCTCCCCGAGAAAACAGAGGGCTTTTTCCAGATTATAGCTGGGACACCCCTCCTTGTAATCCCAGAATAACTCCAGAATGGAGCCCAACGTGGATGCGTGCAGTGTCCACTGACATCAGGCGTGACAAGCTCGGATGGCCCCACTGCTAAGCCGGCTGAGCAGCCCCCAGACGCCCGGCACCACAGGGATGCTGCATGACGGGTGTGTCTCCGTGCGCTCCTGGGAAATTTCTTTCCCCGAGAAGGATGACGTATTGGGATACGCCCCTTGCTCCCCTCCACCGCGGCGGTACAGCGGGAGGAGAACGCGGAGCGCCGCCTGGTCCCGCTTTCTTGGTATTCGAGGAGCACGTCCCAGACGCCACGGCAGGAACACGGGTCCACCCCGCACCACGGTCCTCGACGCCTCGAGGAAGGCGATGCCGAGGGACAGCTTCCTCCACGCGCCCCCTGAGAGGGCGCGGGCCGTGTTGGGGCTGGTGCCGTGGCAGCCCCACGTCCTAGAGAGTTCTGGAACGAGAACGCAGCCCTCCCCTCCCCGAACTCCTAATCCCACTCCACAAACAATGCCTTGTGAGGACCGAGCTCTTTCTAAGAGGCCCAGAAACACGGAGGAGGCCCAGGACCCACGTTGCCCACGAGTCCTGACGCAACAGCACCGGCCCCCGAGGGGCCCAGATGGAGCCACGTCAGGGGACCCAGCGCGGGGCCTCGTGAGCAGGACCTTCCCTTAGGTCCCGTTTGTAGGAAATACGTGCTGCCTTCTCTCTGGGCTTCACTCACACCTGCTGCCGAGGGCCCTCAGTTCCCTCGGGACCCTGCGGAGGCCGGTGGGGTGGCCAGAGCAGTCCGCCAGGCGCGTCTGCGGAAGGTCTGGACTCTGGTCCACGCGCGCTACGTCTGGAGCAGCCCCTTCCTGACTGAGGAATGACCAGACGCCGTTAGAGTGGGGATCGGCCCCTCTTATCTCCAGGAGCCTTCAGTCTCCACGCTGATTTCAGACGCCCGGCATCTCCCAACGAGAGGAGCCACCGCCGTCATTCCTCACAGGTAACCTTTCACTCTGAGTCCCGTGAACTCTTGGGAACACTTAGCTCCCCCCCACCTACTTAATCTCACCCTCTGTACAGCCCCTCTCAGAGCAGTGCCCCCCGAAGCCCTCCCCTGAGCACCCACAGCCAGTGGATTCCCTCCCGTGGAGCCGCAGGCGGGTCACAACTTCCTGGAGGCCACGGAGCAGCCAGAGAGGACGGGGCGCGGAGGGATCAAAAAGTGCCACTCAGCCTGGCTTCAAGACGGTCAGCTCCGAGAAACTGCAAACCCCCAGGCAAAGAGGCTGACTGGTAAAATCCCAGGAACCCGCCCGCCTGACCACGGAGTAAATGCCTCGCGTCCGTTTCACTGTTTGCGGATTTCTCATCCCCACCCAGAAGGAGCCCAGGAGAGCTTCTCGGGTCTGGTTGTCGGTCTGCCCACCTGATGGTTGGTTAGCGTCCCCGTGCATTTCCTGCAGGGTGAACCTCAACTTACATTCGGAGCTGTTCTTGCCCTTGTTTTTCAGGTGCTCCCACTGTGGACAGCAGCCCAGTTGGGAGGAAAAGGACAAGCGGTCCATCTCAGCAGGGGACTGCCTTCACCTTCATTCCCATTAGACCCCCAACCCCTCCCCGGCCAGGTGACTCCAACACCAGAGGAGGTGAATTTATTAAGCCCACGTTAGTCCCACATGGACCGGCAGAGAAAACCAACAGCAAAACAAGGCAGTGAGATGTCAGATGTTCTCAAACACGCAGGTCCTAATTCCATTTCTATGTTATACCAAAACCCCGCCCATTCTCTCTCGACCTTGAACTCAGCACACTCCTATGCACTCCACACCAGGCCACACCCTGGACCCAGCTGCTTCCAGCAGCCGCAGCTCCACCAGAGGCTCGATCCCACGCGTCCTCCTCCGACCACATCCTTTCTCCAGCCATCGCTCACCCACAAAACCGGACTCTCCTCTGGGCCCCCCAGCCCCTCCCTACCCTCTGCGTCCACAGGCTCTGCCCTCCACAGAGTCGCCCCCCCCCGACAACCCTCCCCGCCACTCCCAGGATGGTGCCCAGCAAGCCACCGCCCGCATCTGCCTCAGTGGTTCGCTCCGTATTCGAAACATCCTCTTCTCTTCCATCTTGATAACGTCCCATTTCGTTGCTCCCTTTTGCAGCAAGACTTCAGGGAAGAAGTGCGGTTTCCAGCCCCCTCCTTCCGTCCTCTCTCTACAGACTCCAGAGAGACCTCCCTCCCCACTGTGCTACTGAGATGTCTCTGCCCAAGTCACCAGCCACTTCCTTACCCTAAGTCCAGAGGTCGTGTTTCAGTCTTCATGTTACCTGACCCTCCTCAATGGACTGGTCCCTCCTCAGTCCCCACCGGTCCCTCCCCCTCATGCCTGGTGGGTTCCTCCTCATCCCTCCATCCTCTTCACACTTCAGGGTCCAGGGCTCGGTGCCCTGTCCTCTCCCCATGTCCACCTGCACACCTGTCCTCTTGGGTCTCTTCACCATCGAACAAGCCAGCCTGCAGCTGGAGCCCTGCGGTGCTCACCAGAATGCTCGACACTCACACTAACTGCATCACGGCATCCCATTGATAAAGTGCCTCCTTGACTTCTCCCTCCTCCTCCAAATAAAAGGCAGAACAGTAAAGACTGACTCTTGACAAAGGTTCCCTCTGAGGTGTCTACCCAGGATCCCGTTTGCCTTGAACAGGATTGTAGCTCCTCATTAAGGAAACCAAGCACTGCCACGGGAGCTGACAGTGAGTTCAGCTGCGAGTCAGGGGCTTCAGCCGCCGCTCCGCTAATTGAGAACAGCTGTCCTAAAACATGATCGCACCCCGACCACCTCTGTGCACACCAGCCTCGTTGCCAGGTAACACACAGCAAACTGATAACCACCGAGGTTGCTGCACCCACATCAAAAGATGGAGCCCGCAAAGCGTCGCTAGGAGCTACGTTGAGGCCCAGCCACTAGGAGAGCAGAGTCTGCCGTGGTCCAGGGTAGGTGCATACTTTGAATGAAAATCGGTGCCCCGTGACTTTTATAAAAATGTAGGTGGCACGTAACCAATCTGTCCTTTAGCAACACGCGTCACTTCTCTGCAAGTACCTGCTGTCGTTTAGGACAGGCTTGACTAGCGCAAAGGAGACATTTTCCTGTGTATTCGAGACCCCACGGTCACTAGCGTGGCTGTCATCCGCAGCCACTTCTGAAGACGTGATGTGAACCCGCCCCCTGCAGTGGAGAACAGCCTCTAGACGCCGCTTACCGGCCAACAATGTGAACTGGGGGGTGGGGGGAGACCACCGTTAAAACGAAGCCCAGGCACCATCTCTGATTTAAGGACTCGTGTCCCCTGAGGTTGGGGCTGCCTCGGTTCAGACTTAATTCGCATCTGACCCTGCGAGCGTGAGCGACCACCTGCATCTGACCTGCTCCACACCCGCTGTCCCTAAACACAGTCCCCCGTTTCAAGGGAGGTCCTCCAGAGAAGCACTGCTCTCTTCCAGGCGTGGAGAATACACCTGCCCGGAGACGGGCACTGCTGGAGAGACAGGGGGTCGTTTTCCAGCAGTGCTCCCAACCGCAAGGTTTTTCTGTTTCACGTGGTGAGGAACAGGGTCTCTGGGGACGGAGCACTCCCAAGCCCTGCACGCTTTCTCCTTCACTACCCGCTGACTGTAAACCCTCACTTTACAAAATGAATCTTGCAAAACTACTTCAAGGCAGCGATACGCGGTCACGTGTGACAGTTCCTTAGATGCCCATTTTCTTCTGAGGCCCGTGCAGTACTGACCATCCGTCCTCACATCCCGGCCCCAAAGCTGCATCTCCCCGCCGTGGGTCGGGCCTGCCTGGCGTCCTGTTTCGTGAAGTCGTCCTGAGAACAAGGAGCCTCCACACTGGCCCGGCTGTGCGTCCCCCCGAGGGCCAAGCCCAGCGTGGGCCACGCCCTCACACCCACCCCGGCCGTGTCTTCTACATCAGTGGCTCCCCTGCTGGCTTAAGGCCCCACCCGGCCCTGTCCTTCCCCCTCGACCCACTCCACACCCACCTCCCAGAGACGCCACTTTGTGTCCTGACCAGGAACTCAGGTCCCCTCTGCCTTCTGGGCTCAACTTCTGCACATCCCGGTGAAACGGGGGGAGCTTCTGTGGCCTCCCAGCCCGTCCTGCTGCCCAGCCCTTCCTCCGCTCGCCACACACGTCTCCTCTGCTCCCCCCAGAATGCATCCTGACCCCAGACCCTTCCTGGCCCCACCATGGACACCCAGCTGGTCAACGTGGTCGTGAACAGCCTTCAAACCTGGGCCTCCGTCGCAACCATGACTCAGGCTCTCAGCGGCCTCTCTGCGTCCCGTCCCTCTCAGGGCTGGCACCTGCCCAGGGCCACCGGTACACCCGCAGCGCCGCAGGCTGCTCGGCCCCTGCTGCCTGCAACCACCTGCCCGCAGGGTAACGTCCAGGCTCCTCGGCAGGACCGCTTAGGCTCCTTCGCCCTCTCCTCACCCCCTCCGCCCGTCCTTTGCACCTCGGGACACCCAGAAGCACCCACACCTGTTACACACCCATACACGGAGGCAGCGGGGGCAGAGGTGGCTGCCCCTCACCTACGGACATGCCCACGCAGCTCCTGATGGGTCCCCGTGGTGCCTTCAGGGAGGGGAATAGCAGCAGGTGGTCGAGCACCGGGAGGGGGGCAAACAGGACGTGGCGCTGCGGACACGTGCCCAGCTCTGCCCTGACCGAGGGTGCCTCCGTCTGCACGTTCCTGCCATTGACTGCAATGGCTCCGGATGGCAGGAGCGGTAGAGCCCCCTCAGTAAAGATCTGCAGAGAAAGAAGACACGTAAGCGGGGGGGTGGGGGGGTGTGCCGCCCTGACCCCCCAGCGGTCCCAGGGATGCCTGCAGCCTGCGGGGGGTCGCACCCAACCTCCCGCCAGCTGCCTCCTACACACGGAGGCAAAAAATGGCAGGAGCTCGGCGGGACGCGGGCCTGCGGTCTGGTCATGCTCCTCTGGGAGGCGCTGTGGCCACCGACCTCAGAGCTGCGAGTGTAGGATGGTGACTCCGAGTCTGTCGTCACAGACGAGGAAGCAAGCTAGAGAAACAGCCGATCACCCAAGTCCTCACTGGATGTGAGGCGAGCAGAGACGCAACCTCAACCCCCAGACCTGCAGCCGGGCCTCATTCCTCTACAGGTGGCTGGAGCCACCTGTCTGCCATGTCAAATCCACGACAAGCCGAGGCCCGTCTCCAGAAACTCCTGTCTGCCTTGCCCACAGGACACCTGAGGTCTGCCCAGTCTGCTAGTTCAGGGAGTTTATTATTCATGCTTTAGACTATGTTCTTTTTCTCCAAAGTGAGATATACACCCACCACAAGACCTAGCAAACCACTCCTAACTACTTACAGAAAGAAATTAAAATGTGTGTCCACACAAAGGGGTCTACGTGAATGTTCCTAATCACCAAAACCTGGACACAACCTCAACTGCCACCAACAGGTGAAACAATAAACCAACTGTGGTGTTTCCACCACGTGGAATCCTCAGGACCAGACAGCTGATGCGACAGTACCACACGTGGGTCTCCGAGCATCGTGCCAACGGGGGACCCAGCACAACTCCACTTATAGGAAACGTTAGAGAATGCAAACCGCGTAACAGCAACAAACAGCAGGTCTGGTCGCTCGGGGGCCAGGATCCAGGAGGCACAGGGGCCTTGGGGCGGGGAGCGTCACAAACGTCGGTGTCCTGTTCCTCCCCCGGCTGCTGTGCAGCTGTAGCTAAGCCTGTCGGCCCATCAGACACACATCTGGACACATACTGTTTGCTGCACGTGAACTGCACCTCAGTAACTTTGATTGACAACTGTGCGCTATAAAATTTTCAAACCTCTTCGGGGGATACAATGGGACCGAGTGTACACATCTGGATGAGTCTCAGAGCTTTTCATTTCAAGCAGTGACCACCAACCAGTGAACAGGCCTCTGAGCCTCTCCTCTGAGACCTGCCAGGAAGAGACATCCCTGGGGTAACTCACAGCCTGCTGCAAACAGGCACAAAAAATGACGCAGTCAGCGACCCTCGAAACATCGAGAAACTCCTGATTTAATTCTCATCGTTGTGCTGAATACAAACTCCAGGTTTTCTTGTAGGAAATGTGCATTACTGAAAGCACAGTGTGGAGGCTGGCTTTCTGAGTCATTATTTGAGCAACGTTTCCTTTCCTGATCTGAAAACACTAAAAAACTACACAGCGTAATCTTCAACTCTATTTCAGCATCCGAGGAAAGTAGAAACCTTTCCACGTTTTCACAGTAAAAGATTTCTGAAGCTTTATGTTTTCCACCTATAAGAATTCTGAAGCAAATACTCCCTTTTCTTGCTTTAACTAAGCATATACTTTAGTCCTACTAATAAAGAACAAAAAGACAGTCACTTGTTCAAAAGAGACAGTCAGTAATTTGGGTGGTTTGCCCTTAAACACGCCCCATTTCCACAGTCAGCTCAGGGCTGTTTTGTGGGCCATGAATGTTTGAGCTCATCCTTTCTCTGGGATCACATGATTTGATTCTTTAAACAGATCTGGAGCCATTGGATCCCAAATCAAAAATAAAGGGTTCACACAAACACAACCACACAAAAAGCAGAACATGAAAAAGAAAAATACTCAGGTGTTAAAAAAGTTGCAAGCGTCATTGCAAATTTCATCTTCCTCTAGATACGCAAGAAGAGTTAAACTTAGTAGGAGAAAAAAAAAGTCATAGGACTTTCAAAGGCCAAAGTGAAACCGTGAATATCTTTTAGGGAATAAAAGAATTAAATTTATTTTTAAAAGTCCCTCCCCCTCCCTTGAGTCTGCTCAGACCCACGGCACCTCTAGTGAGAAGTCTGTCTTTCTGCTGTGTCTTTAAACTCTGTACTGAGACAAAATTAAAAAAAAGAAGAAAAGCGATCTAGCTTCTGTCTCACAGGTAAACTGGTATCTGTAAGAACCAAAGCCCCAGGTTTCAGGAGGGGAGTGGGACGTACATGGTCTTCCCAGCACCGTTGGTCCCCAGCAGGGCAGTGATCTGGTACCTGTGGAAGGTCAGGGTCAGGTCCCGGACCTCCACCTGGTGGTGATCATGCTCCTTGGTCACAGAAAGCAGGACAACACCTGGGGGGCCTCCTTCCAGCTCTCCTTCCCCATTTTGCAGGGATGAGCCTGTGAGAAGATGCAATTCACCCTGAGGGGAGTTCAAAAGCCCCCAAAGTAACGTTCACAGTTAATAACTCAGTGGCTGCCTCGGGCTTGAATTCTAGTTCTGTGAAACTTGCAAAGCAATTCAAAATCTTTCTCAAGAGGCAGATTATACGATGGCAAAAATTAAGTGAAATCACTGACTACAAAGTTTTGTACCCTATGCTACACATTTTGCAAGAAAATAAAAACAAGCACGCACGCACACAGGTGTTTGTACGTATGCAGAGGAATGATGGCAGGCGGGTTAGTTACACACACGACTGACAGTCTCCAGAGAAGGTGACCATTGCTCGGCGGTGCTGTCCCAAATTTTCTGTGAGATTCGTATTTTACTTGGGCAGTCAGAAAACAATTACAATATTGACTTACAGTATAAAACCGTCACAATGGGAGCTTGTTTATCCACAGATTCCTGCTAAGCTGTGCTCTGTGGACAAGCCCCAGGCCCCGACAGGACTGGCGTGGGGACCAGCCGCCCCCCCGCCAGTCTCCTGGGAAGCACATCCCCATGTGTAGGGGCAGCGATAGTCTCTCTCATGGAGCCTCGAATAAACTAGCACTTGTGAAACACTTTGAGCATTCTAAAGTGTGTTACACCTGGGACTTTCGCTTCTATTTATTACACAAATTCATGTTAGAGATGAAGCTTCATTTGCTGAATTACCATAGATGCACAAATGCACATGATGCACAGAGGACGCTGTAAACAGTAACACTAACACTGGGGTTCCTGCCCACGAGGGGTGGAACGTGGGCCTCTGGGCAGCGGTGCACACACGGTTACAAAGGCTCAACCAGAAACGAAAAACAAAACCAAACTGGCCAGAAGGAGAAACACGCCTCCAACTACACTCCTTGTTACCAGCCTTGACTGTCCACGTCCCCACTGAAGAAGAACAGGTGAGAACCCCCGTGATCTGCCTTTTCACCACCACCATATATGGAATCTAAAAAAAAAATGGTTCTGATGACTCTAGGGGCAGGACAGGAATAAAGACATAGATGTAGAGAATGGACTTGAGGACATGGGGAGGGGTAACGTTAAGCTGGGACGAAGTGAGAGAGTGGCATGGACATATATACACTACCAAATGTAAAGTAGGTAGCTAGTGGGAAGCAGCTGCATCGCACGAGGAGATCATCTTGGTGCTTTGTGACCACCTAGAGAGGTGGGATAGGGAGGGTGGGAGGGAGACGCAAGAGGGAGGGGATATGGGGATATACGTATGCATATAGCTGATTCACTTTGTTATACAGCAGAAACTAACACAATACTGTGAAGCAATTATACTCCAATAAAGATGTTTAAAAAAAACCCTACAGAGAAGGATAACTCAGAGTGCTAACATTTCTATATGAGGTATATTGGCATTCTTCAAACGGATCCTCCAAATTAATTTCATCCACTTAATAGTTACTTTGCCCCATTATATGTTGAAATGAAAGTGGATTTAATTATTAACGCCTATAATTTTTCTTTTAACACAGCCTAGCTGATGTTTGATGCGTGGTCTAAGTTCTACAAGTGATTGAAGAGATAAAGGCCTCCATGCAGACTGTTTTATACTTTAGCACTTTGACCATCGAGCACAGAAGAGACACACAATCACACACACGACTCAAAAGATTCAAAGAGCTGACCGCAAAGGAAAGCGTGGGGGTCCCTTGTCTTTTGATGTGAAGGAAGATGCTGAGCTGGTATTTGGTCCAGTATTTACCACCTGTTACAGGTTGTTGGAGTCTTAGCCCTGGTACCTCGGAATGTGACTGTATTTGGAGGGACAGTCTTTAAAGAGTGATTAAGGTAAAATGAGGTCATGGGGGTGGGCCCTGATCTAATAGGACTGGTGTTCTTAGAAGAAGAGATCAGGACACAGACACACACAGAGGCATGACCATGTGAGGACCCGGGGAGAAGGCGGCCGTCCACACACCCAGGAGAGAGGCCTCGGGAGGAACCAGCCCTGCTCACACCTGGATCATGGAGTCAGAGCCCAGAGCTGTGACAGAATATGTGTCTCCTGTTTAAGCCCTGCAGTCTGTGTACTTTGTGATGCAGCCCTAACCAACTAGAGCAGGTGGAATATACCCCAAGATCCCACACACTAATAACCATCCCTTGGGGGATGAGGGGGAGTAGCAGGTGGGTAATTACATCACATCACAGCCGGCACTGCCCCTGCACTCTGTCCCGGACACCATCCAGGGTCCTACAACCACCCGACATGGGCACATGGCTGTCTCCTCTCCTCCCCAAGCAGAAGGGGGGAAGCAAGGCTGTCTGAGGACATGAGGCTGCAGAAGCCACATGGTGGGATTGGTTCAAGATGGCAGAGGAGAAGGACGTGCTCTCACTCCCTCTTGCAAAAGCACCGAAATCACAACTAACTGCTGAACAGTCTTTGACAGGAAGACACTGGAACTCACCAAAAAAGATATCCCACATCCAAAGACAAAGGAGAAGCCACAATGGGACAGTAGGAGGGGCACAATCACAATAAAATCAAATCCCATAACTGCTGGGTAGGTGACTCACAAACTGGAGAACACTTATAACACAGAAGTCCAGCCACCGGAGTGAAGCTTCCGAGCCCCATGTCAGGCTTCCCAACCTGGGGGTCCAGCAATGGGAGGAGGAAACCCTAGAGAATCAGACTTTGAAGGCTAGCAGTATTTGATTGCAGGACTTTGACAGGACTTTGAGAAACAGAGACTCCACTCCTGGAGGGCACATACAAAGTAGTGTGCGCATTGGGACCCAGGGGAAGGAGAAGTGACCCCATTGAAGACTGAACCAGACCCACCTGCTAGTGTTGGAGAGTCTGCTGCAGAGGCAGGGGGTGGCTGTGGCTCACCACGGGGACAAGGACACTGGCAGCAGAAGTTCTCAGAAGTACTCCTTGGGGTGAGCCTTTCCAGAGTCCGCCATTGGCCCCAACAAAGAGCCCTGGTAGGCTCCAGTGTTGGGTCGCCTCAGGCCAAACAACCAGCTGGGAGGGAACCCAGCCCCACCCATCAGCAGGCAAGCAGATTAAAGTTTTACTGAGCTCTGTCCACCAGAGCAACAGCCAGCTCTACCCACCACCAGTCCCTCCCATCAGGAAACTTGCACAAGCCTCTGAGATAGCCTCATCCAGCAGAGGGCAGACAGCAGAAGCAAGAAGAACTACAATCCTGCAGCCTGTGGAACAAAAACCACATTCACAGAAAGACAGACAAAATAAAAAGGCAGAGGGCTATGTAACAGATGAACAAGGAACAAGATAAACCCCCAGAAAAACAACTAAATGAAGTGGAGATAGGCAACCTTCCAGAAAAAGAATTCAAAATGATCATAGTGAAGATGATCCAGGACCTGGGAAAAAGAATGGAGGCAAAGATCGAGAAGAGCAAGAAATGTTTAACAAAGACCTAGAAGAATTCAAGATCAAACAGAGATGAACAATACAATAACTGAACTGAAAAATACACTAGAAGGAATCAATAGCAGAATAACTGAGGCAGAAGAATGGATAAGTGACCTGGAAGACAGAATGGTGGAATTCACTGCTGCGGAACAGAATAAAGAAAAAAGAACGAAAAGAAATGAAGAGAGCCTAAGAGACCTCTGGGACAGCATTAAATGCAACAACATTCACATTATAGGGGTCCCAGAAGGAGAAGAGAGAGAGAAAGGACCCGAGAAAATATTTGAAAAGATTACAGTCTAAAACTTCCCTAACATGGGAAAGGAAATAGCCACCCAAGTCCAGGAAGCACTGAAAGTCCCATACAGGAAAAACCCAATGAAAAACACACCGAGACACATAGTAATCAAATTGGCAAAAATTAAAGACAAAGAAAAATTATTGAAAGCAGCAAGGGAAAAATGACAAATAACATACAAGGGAACTCCCATAAGGTTAACAGCTGATTTCTCAGCAGAAACTCTACAAGCCAGAATAGAGTGGCATGACATGTTTAAAGTGATGAAAGGGAAGAACCTACAACTAAGATTACTCTACCCAGCAAGGATCTCATTCAGATTCAATGGAGAAATCAAAAGCTTTACAGACAAGTAAAAGCTAAGAGAATTCAGCACCACCAAACCAGCTCTACAACAAATGCTAAGGGAATTTCTCTAGTGGGAAACACAACAGAAGAGAAGGACCTACAAAAAGAAACCCAAAACAATTAAGAAAATTGTAATATGAACAGACATATCGATAATTACCTTAAACGTGAATGGATTAAATGTTCCAACCAAAAGACACAGGCTCGCTGAATGGATACAGAAACAAAACCCATATATATGCTGTCTACAAGAGACCCACTTCAGACGTAGGGACACATACAGACTGAAAGTGAGGGGATGGAAAAAGATATTCCATGCAAATGGAAATCAAAAGAAAGCTGGAGTAGCAATACTCATATCAGATAAAATAGATTTTAAAATAAAGAATGTTACAAGAGACAAGGACGGGCACTACATAATGACCAAGGGATGAATCCAAGAAGATGACATAATAATTATAAATATTTATGCACCCAACACCTCAATACATAAGGCAACTGCTAACAGCTATAAAAGAGGAAATCGACAGTAACACAATAATAATAGGGGACATTAACACCTCACTCACACCAATGGACAGATCGTCCAAACAGAAGATTAATAAGGAAACACAAGCTTTAAATGACACAATAGACCAGATAGATTTACTTGATATTTATAGGACATTCCACACAAAAACAGCAGATTACACTTTCTTCTCAAGTGTGCATGGAACATTCTCCAGGATAGATCACATCTTGAGTCACAAATCAAGCTTCAGTAAGCTTAACAAAATTGAAATCATATCAAGCATCTTTTCTGACCACAACACTATGAAATTACAAATTAATTACTGGGAAGAAAACGTAAAAAATACAAACACATGGAGGCTAAACAATACATTACCAAATAACCAAGAGATCACTGA